GTGGAGTTGGTTTTGGTGGTGTTGGTGTTGGCGGCATCACGGGTGGTGTAGGTTTTGGTGGAGTTTCAATAGGTGGGGTTGGTTTTGGAGGAGTTTCAATCGGTGGAGATGGTTTTGGTGGTGTTACAATGGGTGGTGTTGGTGATGGTGGCATTGTCGGAGGAGTTGGTTTCGGTGGAGTTACAATGGGGGGACTTGGAACCGGTGGTGTTGGTTTTGGTGGACTTGGTTTAGGTGGTGTTGGTGATGGTGGCTTTATGACCGGGGGACTTGGTGTTGGCGGAGGCTTGATCTTAGGTGGGCTTGGAGGTTTTGGGGAGGGGTGGGGTTTAGGGTGGGGGTGGGGTTTAGGGTGGGGGTGTGGTTTAGGCGGTTTGACTGGATGTTTTGGTGGTTTAACTGGATGTGTTGGTTTTGGAGGGCTTGGGCTACAGTGACGAGCGAAGGTGACGGCAAAGAAGCCGAAGAGGAGGAGAACGAGAAATGGGAGGTTTTGTGTGCGAAACCCCATCTTCGTGGAATGGGTTTGTGTCTGTGACAGAATGAGATTCGGTAAGTAGGAATATGACTGTGTTCCCTTTTATATAGATAATCTTCGAAGATTTTTTTTTTTGTACGTCTTGAAGTAAGCACCATAATGCAACGTAGGCGATTGAAAATAGATTTGATTAAAGCATATTTAACGTCACTTAGTTACAGAAAGAGAAAAATAAAGGGTTATGTCAAACTTTCCTAAATTGGCCTATGTTTGTAGTTCTAGGTTCTTTAAATTACTACTTGAATAATTAAGAATTCACGACCTAGCTTAGCTAGTAGATTTAAGACCCGCTTTAGCCGGTATTATACTTTTAATATGAAGAATAGTTCACTTTTGTCTTGTAAAATTGGATATAAAAGTAATAATTCATTATTGTAAATATTGGATGCAGTCTCGTGTTTCCTTTTTACATTCTTTTGAATTCGAAACTCTTTAACACAACTTTGCTTCGACTCTTAACTAACTGAATTACACATTTCCCATTCCATTTTATCGTTCCTTATTCCTTACAGTTTTCAAATTATTATATAGTGGGAAATTCGTTTGTTATATACATCTTATATAGAAATGTAGGTTAGTATTATTTCATTATGTACTCACGTGGAAGTTTTGTATTATAGCACAGATATGAACATATCATATATAGACGCAGGCCAGTATATACCGACATACGAATACTGTTTTCTTATTAAGTTTACAAAAAAGTTAATTGTTTTTTAGCAAATTCTGTATTGCCGACTTCAGTTTTCTAATTTTTGTTGTTACTGGAGTATTATTTTTTACCAGTAGTCTGTTGAAGGGGGAAAAACCACTAATATATGAACATCAATTTTTATTAACACTTAAATACAAATTTATTTGAATATTTTGCACATTAGAAATAATGGTTAAGCTGCAATATAACAAACGTGGGGAAACGAAAATTTTAGTAAAAATAAAATCACCATGGTAAGGTATAAAACCCATAACTATTGTCTGATAGTTTATTTTTCTTGAAAGAAGTTAATATTCATGTAATTTACCCATAACGCAAACTAGTTTTAGGATCCTGTCCAAATTTCAGATATATAAGATCATGAAATCCAACATTAAATCAGAGAAATTTCCCAACATTCTCAGGCTCTAGTCTATTAAGCTTAGATAATGCCTACTCTATAACTTTTAGAAGTCACTAAATTAACCTTCGCTATATTATTGTCATAAGATTAGGAAATAAGCTTGGAGGTAGCCATATTTTGTAATTATTGGATGAAAGCAATGGGAGCAAGCAAATCTTTTTGTAGTGTAATGGCCAGTGGGGACAAATTATGAAATAAATTGCATTATTATTTGACTTAAGAGGCACTTCACATTCTCTATGTTATATAGTCACATACAAGTAAAGACATCATTTTCTCTCAATATTGTTGATCCTTCAGTGTTAGGTCCACATTTCTTTATAAGGATTTTAGATAATTTATTTTGGGTGTTACTTTGTGTCTCTACTTACAGAAATTGAGGATCAAATTTTGCCTAGAATCACAAATCTACGAAATGGGTCACACGCTCGCTCTTGTAGTCTTTTTAAATATTAATCTTATACTACTATATTATAGTGATGGTTGCTCGTATCATATCCAGAATAAGAATTAAAAGTATACTGTAAATAGATCAACACCTACTAATTAAAGCTAATAATACAGTATTATATAGATGTTATAAAAAATCAAACGGTGATCACTTTTAGGGAATTTTACGCAGTTTTAAACAAACCAAACTGAAAAATGTACTGTTTAAAAACCAAAAAGGTGTTAAAACTTCAACTATACTGATTCTTTCGCGTATACAACAATGATATGTTTTTTTTTTTTTATCATTTAGTGATCATATATTCGATTTTCTAAATATCATCTCTAGGAATTGTAATTGTTATACGTAAATTGAACCCTTTTTCAGCCGTATTCTTTTTAACATCAATATGACACAATCGCAAAACATAATAAGATTTATCGTCTAATTCAGCTATAAACCCACTCTGTATGAGAAAATCACGAAACTGAAAGTATCAATATTTGGTCCTTCAATGTTTCAGAAAAAAACGAAAACAAAAAGTTTGGTCCTTCCAATATATTTATGGTGAAGAAAACGAAACTAAGTTATGGACGTGGTTACAGGGTGGCGAGTAGGGTTTCAATGGTAACAGAAATGGATATGTTTTCTTTGAAAATACGAATGGATCTCATGCTTGAGCCAGAAAAAAATCTAAATAAATAATGGGTCTCATTCTCATCTATTCATGCATGTGACTATACCACTCGTCTCTTTGTTTCATGCTCTCACAACCGCAACAATAATTCAAAAAAGAAAGAAAGAAAAAGAGAAAAACAATTGGTCGTAGGAGTACTTGAGTACAATCGATAAATCATAAAGACACGTTGTTGGTCCATCACTAACAGAAGAGAGCAAAAAAGTGGGACAAGAAAACGATAATCGATTCATAGTTTACACTTCGGTCCATCGCCAGCACCAGAAAAGAGAATAATATTGGGACAGAAGAAAACGATAATCGTTTTTGACATTTTCTTGAAGTCGGTCAATCACTAGAAGAAACGAGCAAACACATTGGATCAAAATACAATCATCGTTTTTGATATTTTCTTTGCACTTCTAAAGTGTTGCCGTTTTGAAAGTCTCCAAAGTCATTATATTTTCATCATTTGCAGAGGTCACCTATAAGATACGTGCTTGCGTTCTAAAACATCAATAATTAGAATCAATAACACACTCGTTTTTGGTATATCGTTCGATTTTATATATTTTAATTAATTTTGGCGTGAAGTTAAATTTGGAAATCTAATCGAAAACGATACTTAAAACAAAATGTCAATTGATACGATATTGAATTTGAAAGGACAGAAGTAAGTATATATTTTTCTAATTAATTATCTGAGATTCCTAATTATTTTTACTAATATTTTTGTGTGTTTCCTACTGTATTATTGATTTTCGAAACGTCTATTCTGCAAGGTCCCCCAGAAAAGCCAAATTTATAATTGCACCTCAAGATGCCAAAAAAGCATGTACTCGGAATATTGTAGTGGAACAAAAGGATCCAAACTCTATTATTTTTGTGACGCGATTGAATGTGAAAATATTGTTACGTATTGTCATTTTTTCAACTTATCCTGTGATATCTTCTGCTAAATTTTGGTTGAATCTAAATTTTCTTAGCTATATTTAGATAACTTTGAAATAAAAATTTCATTTGGAGGTACTGATCATATACACGTTTTAAATATAAGCCAGCTATTGTGTGAATACGTTTTCGGTACAAACAAAATTATTTTCATATACGTGACAAAAATAATTAATGTCCAGAGAATCTTGACAGATGAGAAAATAAAAACAGTTGTTTATACATATAACATATTTACTAATATTTCGAAGGGTTCGGATTTGGGTTTGTAACAGTACATATTTTGTTTGTAGACTTGGCCATTCTTTCAAAGACTTTATCTCTTAGATTAACACTGATAATGTTTTTTTTTTTGGTATGAAACACTGATAATGTTTCGATGCTTTATAGCTGAATAAGTTGCTTTACGGAAGTTTTAGTGGCTTCACATGTCAAATACTCCAGTTTGGTTTCATGAAGATCCTCTACGAAGATTCAATACTTCTCTTTCATAGTTTTTTTTCTCTCTTTTTAATATGAATATTTGATATTTTCTGTCTTTATACAAAATTAATGTTTTGTTTCCATTTTTTCTCCTGCTAAAATTAGTCACTGTTATGTAAAACGTCAAAAAGTTATAATTGATCAAAGCCAAATGTATAGCACTTATAAGAATATTCTAATAAAAGATATCACCAACTACCACCCTAAAACATAATCAAGTCATAATTCCAAGATTAATCCAAAGATGAATCACTCCTTAGAATAATGAAAAAAAAAATGAATGCAAATGAAGAGAAGCATAGATAGATAGATGCTCATGAAAAAGCCTTCATCTTCATCAATATATCACTTCAAATCCTTACAAGAGAAATTTGGGTAAGAAGTCAAAAATATTTAGAGCCCAATATACAAGCCAACCATAAGCGGCTAAGCCCAACCTAAGCCCAATATCGTAAGGTTTTTTGAGTTAATTTGGTGAAGATTTGATTTAGAAGAAAACAACAAATACCAAATCTATAAATTTTAATTTTTTTACTAATGAAATAATCAAAGAAATTGTTAGCATAGGACTTTCATTAAATTTATTTTGAAAAGCATATGTTATTTCTATTTTTGGTGAAGTTCAATATTATAATTAGTATTTAGTAGAAGTTTTTATTGATTGAGAGAGATAAGGAAAATAACGAACAAAACAAACTCTTATCACTGAAACTTCAAAGATGATAACATAAGAGAGTGAAGAGAAAGCCAATAAAGGCTCTTCTTTTCTTCTTCTTCTTCTCCATCATCATCATCTCCATCACAATGGCCGGATCAGCTCTACCTCTTCCACCGCCACCACCACTATCATTCCAATCTCCGTCGCAAACCCAAACCCGCCACTCTTCCACCACCTTCTCCCCACCAAACCTCACTCCCCAAACACCTTCCGCTTCAATCCGTTCCCGCCTCAGCAGAATCTGCCAAGACGGAAACCCGAAACTCGCACGCCAACTGTTCGACACAATTCCCAAACCAACCACCGTTCTCTGGAACACCATCATCATCGGCTTCATCTGCAACAATCTCCCCCACGAGGCTCTCCTCTTCTACTCCCGGATGAAAAAGACGGCGCCTTTCACCAACCCCGACCCTTACACTTACTCCTCCACACTCAAGGCTTGCGCTGAGACCAAGAACTTGAGAGCTGGTAAAGCCGTGCATTGCCATTTGATCCGTTGCTTGCAGAACTCGAGCAGGGTTGTTCATAACTCTCTGATGAACATGTACGTCTCTTGCTTGAGTGAATTGGCATCTCCCGAGTACGATGTTGTGCGTAAAGTGTTCGATAATATGCGTAAGAAGAACGTTGTGGCGTGGAATACATTGATTTCTTGGTATGTGAAAACAGAGAGAAATGCAGAAGCTTGTAGGCAGTTTGCGATCATGATGAGGATGGAGATAAAGCCGAGTCCCGTTAGCTTTGTGAATGTCTTCCCCGCGGTGTCGAGTTCGAGAAGCGTTAAGAAAGCTAACGTCTTTTACGGTTTGATGCTGAAATTGGGAGATGAGTATGTGAAGGACTTGTTTGTTGTGAGCTCGGCTATCTCCATGTATGCAGAGCTCGGCGATCTTGAGTCATCAAGGAGAGTTTTTGACTCTTGTGTTGAGAGGAACATTGAGGTGTGGAACACAATGATCGGCGTCTATGTTCAGAACGATTTCTTGATTGAAAGTATTGAGCTTTTTCTTGAAGCAATAGGATCAAAAGAGATTGTTTCTGATGAAGTGACGTTTCTGTTAGCAGCGAGTGCGGTTTCAGCTCTGCAGGAAGTGGAATTAGCAAGGCAGTTTCATGGTTTTGTGAGCAAGAACTTTCAAGAGCTGCCGATTGTGATATTTAACTCGTTGATGGCTATGTACTCAAGGTGTGGCTCTGTGTACGAGTCGTTTGGTGTCTTTGATTCGATGCGAGAGAGAGATGTTGTATCATGGAACACTATGATCTCTGCTTTTGTTCAAAATGGACTAGATGATGAAGGATTGATGCTGGTTTACGAGATGCAGAAGCAAAGGTTTAAGCTTGATTCAATAACTGTGACTGCTTTGCTTTCTGCTGCGTCAAATCTTAGAAACAAGGAGATAGGGAAGCAGACTCATGGTTTCCTTATCAGGCAAGGGATTGAGTTTGAAGGAATGAATAGTTACCTTATCGACATGTATGCTAAGTCAGGACTGATAAGGATCTCACAGAGGCTTTTTGAGAGAAGTGGCTATGGTGAGAGAGATCAAGCTACTTGGAACTCTATCATTTCAGGTTACACGCAGAACGGATACACAGAGGAGACGTTTGCTGTGTTCAAGAAGATGATAGAGCAGAGTATCAGACCTAATGCTGTAACCGTGGCTTCGATTCTTCCTGCTTGTAGCCAAATAGGTAGTATTGATTTAGGGAAACAGCTTCATGGATTCTCTATCAGGCAGTTCTTGGATCACAACGTGTTTGTTGCTTCTGCTTTAGTTGATATGTATTCGAAGTCAGGAGCGATAGAGTACGCAGAGAACATGTTTTCACAAACGGAAGAGAGAAACTCTGTGACATACACTACGATGATATTGGGGTATGGACAACATGGAATGGGAGAGAGAGCTGTCTCTCTGTTTCGCTCAATGGAAGTTTCGGGAATCAAACCTGATGCTATCACTTTTGTTGCAGTGTTATCAGCTTGCAGCTACTCCGGTTTAGTTGATGAAGGTCTCAGTATATTTGAGGAGATGAGAGAAGTTTATAACATTCAGCCTTCAAATGAGCACTATTGCTGCATTACAGATATGTTAGGGAGAGTAGGTCGTGTTAACGAAGCGTACGAGTTTGTTAAAGGGCTTGGGGAAGAAGGAAACGTGGCTGAGCTGTGGGGTTCGGTGCTTGGTGCTTGTAGACTACACGGTGAGCTTGAGCTAGCTGAGACTGTTTCAGAGAAGTTGGGTAAAGTAGATAAAGGGAAGAACTTTTCAGGGTATCAGGTTCTGCTCTCGAATATGTATGCTGAGGAGCAAGATTGGAGGAGAGTTGATAGGTTGAGGAGAGAAATGAGAGAAAAGGGTTTGAGGAAAGAAGTTGGTCGAAGTGGGATTGAAGTTGCTGGTTATGTCAACAGTTTTGTGTCTAGAGATCAAGAGCATCCTCAGTCTAGTGAGATATATGATGTGATTGATGGTTTGGCTAAAGATATGAGAGGCGATTCGTTTCTGACTACATTTCCAGATGTTAGTCCGAGTTTGGAATTGGAGGAGTGAAGAAGAATGCCAATAATGGACGATCAAAGCAAGAGATGTGGAAGAAAAGTGAGATGATAAAAGCTCTCATTTCTTTGCTTTCTGAAGCTCTTTGTTGGTGATACTGAGGCAAATATTTTTGGCCGTAAACAGTACTCTTTGTTCATCATTGTATTCATCAATCATTCTTACATGAGACAGGAGTAAAAATTGTGAAATTCAGAACCATTATTTTCCCCACATTGTGCAGTTTGGTCTTTGTGTACAGTATTACAAAGAGAGATGTAGATAAAAATAACACTATTATTGTATAGTTTCCTGATTCTCATCTTCACTCTAGGCCTCTTGTAAACTTTAATGTATTATAATTATTTTCATTTTTGTATAACTTAAAGTAATTGATGAATGGAAGTATGGAACTGAAATTTCAAACCTAAGTTAAAAATTAGACATAAATTAATCATATAAAAAATGGTTTAGAGTCTTTAGATGTTTTTTTTGTATAGTATAGTAATTGGTGATTGAACTCAAATTGCATATTGTTAAGAAAAGAAGAGTGCAATTTCACTGGAATCTTACAGGACCCACAATGTGCTTTAGATTCATCCCCTCTTCCCAACTAATTTCTCAGTCAGTTTTGTCATAATTTTCAATGTATTTTTCCATATTATTTATTATTTCCTACGGCATGATAAAAGTTATTCTCTTTATGTATTTATCGTAGAAGCTAAAATCTAAACACAAATGCAAAAACAAAAAAAACTCTATAACTATTTGTTTTGTCTTGTGAATGCGAGGCTTTGGTATATTGGCCAAACTCCTATATTTAACATAGATCAACGTCAAAGACCCGTCTCAGTACTCTAAATCATAATTATTAGTTATAATCACAATAAATAATTAGTACGATCGATGGAAATGAGATGATAGAGAATCAACCAACAAAACGATAACGTAAGAATCTAGGCTTGTTGGTAGCCTACCTTTCACCCAAAAACACTTTCCCTGTTTCCAAACCAAAGGCAACTTTGATTTCTAATTTTCTATATGATCCAATAAGACTCTTTCTCCATTTTATTATTGCTAAAGATTATTCCGGTGCACTTTAAGAAAATTCTTCTCCAACATGTTTCAACAGTCTTGAAAGTTGATGATTGGAGACAAAGAGAAAAAGCCAAATAATATTCATAAACAAAAGCTAATCACTGTTTTCCATCTACAAGTCATGTTATAACATGAGACTAGTATGCCATGCATAACATCCCTAACAAAAATAAAAAATAGTGTTATAACTTATATTCATATTCTCTATTATCGCACGATTTCATTTGGCAAAGCAACATTCACATTAATTTCATGTTTGGATGTCTCTACAGACTACAATCCAATAAGAACAAGAATATAGAAAAGTTGGATGTAAGCAATTTTAATTTTCCTAATATATCCTCAATTCTATGCACGTTTTATAAATTTTAAACTATAAAGTGATAACTTATATTCATATTCTCTAATCTTTATTATCAAGAGCAGCTCATTTAGGGATTGATGTGGATGTACCTTTACCTAATTACCTCTACAATCCAATAAGAATACAAAACCTGGATGTGAATGAACATATGGAATTATGGATTCATGCTTGAATGTCTACAATCCAATAAGAATCGAAGAGTTGGATGTGACTAACATTTGATAAAATAAAATTTCACATGCACCGAGAACTTCACGTGAAAATATACTATTATAAGTATGTTTTTAACATATGTGACATTTTGGCGTTGGAGCATATTAGTTAAATCCAACTAAGGCTATACTACACAAAAATATGGCTCCATAATCCATATGAATAATATTTTTTTCTTTACAAAAATATACACTATTTTATTTTCCGAATCGGAATGCAAGTATATATGCAACTTCAGTCACTGAATATTTGCATATTTAGGGCATTATCATGATAATGCTAAAATCCTAAAACAAAGATAAAAGCTTGAATATGAAAACGAAAAAACTTAAATATACAAAAGTCAAATTTTTCATTCTATGACAAAGAAAGTCAGTACCTAACATTTCTGCCTTTATGCGAAAAAAAAAGAAAAAAATCAAAAAAGAATCCAATCGCTTTCTCATTGTAGCCTCGAGGAAGGCGTATTACTATTCGTCGCCTCCTTCGACGACGACGGAGCAGAACCACCCGTCGTCCCAAACACACCGGAAACAACCGTATTAGGGTTATTCATGTTACTATACCCAACGACAGGGTTCACGTTGCTCAACGAGAACATATAAGGCCGTTGCGGTGGAGGCGGCGCGTGAGGCTGGAAGTTATATTGCCAAGGAGCTTGTTGGGAAGATCCAGCGGATGGATCCGACGAAGAGGTGAGGCTAAAACCGGAAGTAGTGTTACCGGACCCGAAAGCCATAGCGGATGGTCCGCCAGTGAATTGTTGAACCATGGCTCGGAAGTTGGATGTGTCGGTGTTGAGAAGTGTTGTTGGTGTTCTACGTGATGCTCTTGATCTTCTACGTGCGGGTTTGGTTACACGACCGGTTTCTGGACTCAGACGAGAGTCTATGGAGTTGGCTTCACCGGTAGTGGTGGTGGTTGTGGTTGTGACGGCTGTTGAAGTGGTGGTGGAAGTTGTGAAGAAGGTTTGGTTGTTGTTGTAGAACTGAGACGACCATTCGTTTGGGTTAGCCATTTCTTGTGTCTGTGTGTCTGAAGACTGTGTGAAGAAGATTGTAAGAAAGGAAAAAACATTTTGCCTTCGTATGTTCTTTAAGTATTTGAGTTTTTTAATTTTTGGTTCGACTTAGTCAAAGGAAGACTATTCTAGATCAATCTTGACCGTTGAATTTTTATTCATATGATTTAATCTGATTCGATATTATCATGATTTAGCAGAAGAAATAATTAAATAGGACCTTATGAACATGAAGTTACAATTAGTTGAGTTTTACCAATAAACTAGAATTTGGTTTGGTATTGGCTACTTTCCCAACAAGTTGACGAAATTGGCCCATTTCACTGTGTTGTTCTTCTATCAAATAGTAAAATAAGTCCCTTACTTTACATAATCGTCACAGAGCTGACGACATGTTTCATGTACGTTCTTCCTAACCACAACGTTAATTATATTCATATCTCATATTCACGTTGCCTCTGCCTAGTGCTTGTGCAGTAGCCGTATTATATTTATGGTCGTCTGATAATAATAACAATAAGGTTTCTCAGATTATATATAGCTACTAGCTAGTACTACTGTACTACTATTGTATATGTATATCATTCTTAGAACTATCTTATTAGGTTAGACGTAATGAAATATAACACACCGACAATTCTGTTCAACCCATAATAACATAATGAGAAGACTGTAGGTTGCTTTAATCAGGGATAACGATTACTCAGTCGATTATCCATGAAAAAAAGAAAAAACAATTACAGAAAGAAATAACTTTGGTATATGATACTTGAGAGACATAATAAGGTCAAGTAAAATCAAGAACATGCAGCTACGAATAGTTTATTTAACCATATTGTATTGGAAGGTGTCTGTATTAAATTTCGTAAGACTATTTGAATATTTATGTTATGATTATGACTATTTAAATCCAAACTAAGGAAAGATAAATTAGTAAATTACCACTAGTATTTTCACAATTAATAGGGTAGTTTATCAGGAATTATAAGTGGACATAAATTAATTGGCGGGGTAGGTGACTTTCAATGAATGTGATACAAGAGACGACCGAAGAGGAAACTATTGAGAATTTTCCAAGAAAACCATAATCTGATTCTGACCTCGTGATACGTAACATAAACATCATCATCGATCTCTTTTGTTACAATTCTGCATCAATCATTAATATGAATACAAAGGCTTGTCGTTTGCATTTGAGATTTATTTCTACAAATTCATATAACAATCTCTAAGTGGTTGAAATCAGATACAAATTTTAAGAAGCTTGATCAAAAGAATTAACAAGAGTTTACAAATAGAGAAAATAATCCTCTAAACACTGTATCTCCCTCATCTAAAAATCGAACAGTCAATGATCAAAGCTTGAAAGATCATCAAAGGCTAATACAAACACAAACAATATTAACAGCAAGCGAATCTCTTGGGGGATTATAATAACCGAAACAATACAACATTCCTATTTAACACTTGAAGATATAACAGAGCATGCTCCTCCTCTTTGTTCTGTTCCAAAACCTGATCGTGAAATGAGCTTTCTTCTTGTGCAGGTTAGGTTGGCTTCTCTTCAACCGAGATTTGAATCTTCCCATCCACAGACTCTTTAAAGATTTGATACGCGCTTTGGCTACAGTTTCGTTTACGAGTGTCTGGATGCGTCCTCATGCAACTGCGTAGCCCTCACATTAGGATCGTCCTGTAAAGTAAGTTTCCATGCACAAAGATGATCAGTTGATACAAACAGAACAAGAAAAAGTAAGAAATCTGTCATGACAAACGAAAATTTACCCGGATATCGTAAGGAAAATTGGGAGGACGGAAGAAATCTACTCCCTACAAAGAACAAAGAATGATCATTGAATATTTCTGTTCGCAGTCTTGTAAAAGATTGAAAGTGTTCTTGAAAGCTCTGAGAATAGGTTTAAGTACCTGTCCATGGATGCCTTGCTGAGCAGTGTAGTAACTGTCGTAGCTCGGCGCTATTGAGTTCAACTGTCGCTACAGAAAAACCAGCCGAAGATTGTTTTTGTTTATCCAAAGTTAATGAAAAGAAAAACAGCAGAAGATAGGTGTCATTGTCGATTTTTCATACCAATCCTTGAATTGTTTGTTGATTCCCATAGAAGTTATCACGAGTTGGCCCCATTAAGTTCAGCTGCACCTGTAAAAAAACACATATCAGTACCACAATTTCATTCAAAAATCATAAGAACATGCAACAAATATGTGATTAGTTACCATATTTTGCACGCTCTGCTGTGTTCCATAGTAACTTTCTATACCAACTGTCCTCGGGCTCAACTTGTCCTGCAATTATAAAAACTCAGCTATCAAATCCTTAGTGGACGCTAGTTTAACAGAGACTTGCTACGATATGTAAACAAAGACTAACCATCTGTTGCATGCTTTCAGGCGCTGCAACTGGCATAACCTCCTGCTCTGAGTTCACCTGCAATCCGGAGACGGGATCTTAAGACTTGTAAAGCTAACAAAGTGTATGCACAGAGAGATGGTAAACAAAAAGTTACTTTTCTTTTCTTGGTTGGATTCTTTTTCTTGCCAGTCTTGCTTGCATTTCTGCTCTGGCTATCCTCCTCAACCGAAATCAGACCTTGAGTCGGTGACGTGACAACATCTGGAAGACTTCTTCCGGAAGTGTTAACACCAGCACAGTTTCCCAAAGCTTCTTCAATAGCAAGGAAAGCTACATTGTAGCTCTCTTGAGAGAAGGACGCCTCGTCATTCAGCTTTAACGCTCGTTGACAGAGATCGTTATACCGCTGCAGCCTAGTCTGCAACTGCTGAGGCTCTCCTGAGAAATGCCGGCTCTTTGCATCTTTTGTCCACCGTTTCAATATGTACTGAGAAGGGATTGAAGAAAGATGACAACACTGGAGAACGTTAAGCGTGTGTCTGCAGAGATAGCCTTTGTACTCGAATAACCGACAGATGCAAGAGACTTCAGCCTTTGCGTGGTTCCATGTCACCACAAAGTCCTGGTTGTTTTCAAAATCCTGAACTCTGAAAGTAGAGCATGCCCCATCTCGGTTCTCTTCCCTGGGACTACACGCAATCGCACCCAAAACTTCACTCTGGAACTTCTTGAACACAGCAGGAGTGTAAACTTCAGAGACACTCTTCTCAAACGGTGACGGAGACTTCATTGCTGGCTGCTTGTTCCACGTTTCGGAATCAGCTTTGGCTTCTTCTTCACATCTGTCTAGCAAAATGGTATCGTATAGCTTCACAAATTCTTGTACACTAGTCTTCTTATGCATGTACTTGTCGAAGAAAGCGTTAACACTATCAGCTCTTAGAGGTGTAGACATCCCTGCCAAGAGAACATCAGTCATGTACGTCGGTGCCCATTTCCTCCGGTCTTCATATAAAGACTGCATCCACTGATCTTCCTTGAGGCCGAATCTCGCAAGAATCTTCCACCACCTCCTCGCAAAGTCTTCCTCTTTCCATGACTTGTAAATGCACTTCTCAAACTTCGGTGTAAAATGCTCATGCTGCTTAGCAACTTGACCAAGATTCTCAGCGACCTTAACCAACACATGCCAGAGGAAAAGGCAATGCCGAGTGTTAGGGAAGATTTCAGGAACAATTGCGTTCATCACAGCGTCTTGCTCAGTGATCAAAACCTTTGGAGCTTGTCCTCCCATCGCCTTCATCCACGTCTCCATCAACCAAGAAAACGTCGCTGCACTCTCGTCTGATATCAAAGCACAACCAAGAACCATATACTGATAATGCTGGTTCACTCCAACGAAAACAGCAAGCGGCATCTTATACTTGTTCCTCACATACGTTGTATCCAGAGAAACAACATCACAGAAACTCCCATAGTTATGCCTACTCTTCGCATCCACCCAAAACACATTCTTCAGCCTCTGGTCATCTCCAAGATCCACCGCGTAAAAGAAGTTTGAGTTCAAGATCTGCATCCGTGACAAGAAGTCAAGCAAGATCTTGAAATCCCCTGTCTCCACTGACAAACTCCGACCTTTCTCAAACGAGCTCTTCGAGTCGCTTTTCAAGCTGATCACAGTCTTGTACTCAGCGAACTGCTTAGCCATAGCAGCGTAAATCTTCCTCGTCTGCTCACTCACAGCTTGCGCAGGCAAAAGCTCATGGTTATGCTCCCTCACAAAGCTGTGAATCACCCACTTCCCATCAGGCCTTCTCTTCACATGCATACTCGCTTTACAGTCAGTCTTCGCACACGTTCTCCTCCCAGCCATGTTCTCAGGGTCTTGCTTGCTCTGCCTAGCTCTCGGCCTGTTGAAAGACTTATCATACTCTCTCTTGGTGCCGTACCTAGAGCAAGCGAACTTGGCGTCGATAAACTCTCTCGTCGTCTTCGATCTCCGGCTGTTCTGTATCGCGGTGTTGAACCCGATAGCTCGAGAGTACTCCTGGTAAAAGGAATAAGCTTCGCCGTGCGACTCGAACTCCATACCGTTGAGAGGTTCGAGATTCATGCCTTCAGTGTACTCAACCAATTCTCCTCCAGATGGAACATTCACCATCCCTACGCTGTCATCAGTGTGTACCTCGACGGTAACGTCCTCGATTTTGCCGATATCCATGTCTTCTTCTTCTTCATCAGCGTCGTGGAGCTTGTGCTCGTTCTGTAGCACATTGTCGAGTCCTCTGTCTTCTTCATCACCTTCTTTGCATAGGTCACCTGAATGTAGTCGAAGATCTATATCCATGACTTAACAAAAATTAAGACTTTCCTGCAACAACACTAACAAAGTTTTGAATTTTAGGTCAAAACGTATAACACAATCAGAGAATTCAACTGAAATTAAACACACCAATTCGATGAATTCGCCAGAGAATGTATAAGCATTTGTGAAGTAAAATTACTTTGAGCAACGAATATACTCGAATCCAATTTCATCAAATTTTTGATCGAAGCTCACTGTATAACCTAACCAAACCAAACCCGTCATTTCTGGTACACTGAAAAGCGGAAATTGAAATTACCTTGGTACGAAAGGGGAGATATTGGGGAACAGAGGCGAATCGGAAGAAGGTCTCGTGGAGAGGAAGAAGACGATAGAACGCACGCGCCAATCTGTGCGAGTTGGCGTTTTCGATCTGCGGGAAGGAGGAGGATGATGATAGAGAAGGGAGAGAGAGAGAGAGGAAACGTGTGTGGTGTTCACGCGATCTGAGGGAGCGAGTGGGCGGAGGAGGGAGGCACGATGATTCCTCTTTTAGGGTTTCTTCTTTCTGTCTTAACGCAGCACCATGTTGATATCATCATCATAATATCTCTCCATTTATTTTTTATTTATTTTTTAAAAGACTTTTTTTTTGTTTTAGTTGTGTTTGTTTTTCGGTGTTTGATTTTTTCCCCAACTGCGCACGCGTTGCGCGTGCCAACACTTGCAGAGAGGGGTCATTAGAGGAAGCGTGAATAATGGCATCATGGATTAGGGGGGCGCCTACTAGGCTTAGGCAGGCTTTCAAAATGGTTGGTCCACGTACGATTACGACTTTTTTTCTTTTAGACTTTTTATGATCTTGTATAAAAATATATTGTATGTCAAATATTTGTAACTGTACAGTATATATATTTTCAAGTAAGGAGGTTGTTCACTTGTTCAGTCAGATAACTACTGGTAACAAGATGATAATCACTCCTTAAATTAAAATAACGTATACAAAACAAGGAACTATATAATGATGAGTATAATCACATTGGGAGCTGAAAAAGTTTTAACAAAATATACCCCAAACACTTTTAACTTAACAATAACACTATACTTACCGATTCAATATAAGATGAATCCACAGAGAATCATGCATGGAATAAGAAAAAGGATGGCTAAACATATATGGCAGAGACAGAACAGTCGTTCTCCTCTTGATCGATGAACCAAGCAGATTGTGTTTCTCCCATGATCTTGTCTGTTTATTCTTTCCTTTCATCAGAAGCTGTATATGTACAGGACGATGGCAGGAGGGATTTGGGACTGACGATTCTCAGAGCTGCACGCTTAACAAAGCTATGCGAGCCTCTGTTTAATTGGGTCGGAGTTGCGTCTTCTCTGGTTTTGGGAAGCTTTATCCTCAGCTACTTTCTGAGATGCTGTCGTGAGTTTTCCCGTTCTGTTGGCTTTAGCTGCCTGAGACCCTGAGGACTTTCCTGCTCAAGAATATTCACAATGTGTCAACAAAACGAACAAGAATGTTTCAAACATCAAAATGTATTTGCTTCTAAGGGTAGAGAGAAAGAGATCTGACCAGTGTTTGGAAGAGACAAACGTTCCTTTGAAGATCTTTCTTTCGGATTGCTATGCGATCTTGGACCAGAAACAACAGGTCTTGAGTTAACTTCTCCAGCGAGATCGTCTTTAGCAGCAGACTTTGACTTACCCTTGGATACCACTGGAACGCTTGAAGACACTCCAGGAGAAGACGAATCGGACTGAGATGGACCTGTTACCTTCTGACTTGAAACACCACCAGATGCAGCAAGATTTGAAGTGTTTGGTGGCAACTTGCTTCCACTTTTCATCTGAGTTTTATGCACATTCTCAGACTGCTCCAAACTGTTCTCGCCTAGATTTGCATCTTCCCTGAGGTTGCTTTCAAGAAACCGATTCTCCCATGGACGAACAGCCATCCATCTCTCCAACCAGTTCCATCCCCAGTTGTTCTTGTCAGGTTGAAACCCACTGTACGCAGATATCTGCCTAGTTCCTGCTTGCCACTACATGAGAGCAATTCATATGTATGAGAAAGAAAGATCCTTTTGCAGCCACAAAGAAACTATTAACAGAGAGCAAAAAAGTGAGCAAATTCAAACAGAGAGCACAACCAAATCTGATAAGACTATTCAGTGAAAGCTATGATTCATAAAAAGTGAGCAAATTCAAACAAGTAGCATAGAGGTTGTGAGTAACCTGGTGAGTCAAAGCATATGCCATAGCTCTCTCACGCTTAGCTGCAGCTTCCTGCCTCTTTAGCAGCTTGGCTTGGATTTGTTCAACAGAGCCAATGCTGTCGCACCAACCTTCCTGTGAGATGATAACACAGAGACTATAATTCTCTCTACAGAAGTTTAAGAAAAAAAAATATGAAGTTTGTAGATAACTGAGAGAAGGGATCATCTGTTTACCTCTATTTCTCGAACTCGAGCTTCATCTGCTAGCTGTTGTTGAAGTGTCTGCTCACCGGTTTCACTTTCCAAGGCGAGACGGACACGTCTTGCACGCACACGAGCCTGAACTCTTACTAACGCTTGCATACATCGAAGCGTCACAGCTGCTTGTTTTCTCACAGCGTGTCCTCTAACAAGAGCTTGAAGTCTAACCAATCCCTTCAACGCTCGTAAAGCTCTTCTAGCCTGAGAAATGTATCATCTTATTTCAGTCCAGCCAAAGCCATAGATTTACAACACAGATTACTTGATGTTGAAATTGATACCAGAAATCCTCGATAAGCTGTTTGGATGCGTGTTGCAGCTTGATGTTCCTTCCTTTGTTCTTCATTAGCAGCACCATATGATTGCAGTGAAGTTGAAGTAGAGACCCCAGTATCTATCATACTGGAATCTTCAAACTCTTGAAACTTTTCAGCGTCAAAATCAACTGACTTCTTTCTCCCAAACCGGCTCTTTGTGGCAATCTTCACCTTCATCGGTTAAAGCAAACATATTATGCACATACAGATAAATGAAGGTTGTATAGATAAAGATACAATAGCATATAGTGTGCTTACATTTTCATCTTTCTTTGAAGACCTTGACTTATCAGATTTGGTGAAACCAACCAATGCTTTAATCCATCTCCCCGAGGCACCCATTGTATCAATTTCAATTTGATCAGCCTGCAGGATTGTTGAATTTTAGCAACTGACTTATTCATAAAAATGAAAACTTTCCTTTTGGGTTTTATTGATAAGCAGCTAAAAGCATACAATTGAGTCGCTAAATTCTTCAGACAATGTTGGATCCCAAAATTGAAACCAGAAATATAGCAATGAAACACTTAATCAAGATCAAAAAGCCAAACTTTGCAGGAAACTCTGAGAAAATTTGAGAAGCAAAACTGAGACCTTTACCGGCGGTGGGAAGGAAAGATCGGCGGATGAGATCTTCAGAGAGAGAGTGAGAGTGAGTGGTGTCTTGTGATTTTCAGTCAGTGACCGTCTTTCTCGCCTGCTACTTTTTCACTCTCTCTCCAAAAAGTCCATGTTTTTCTATCTATCTCTCTCTCTCTCTCTAGATTTCAGTAGATTATACAGATAGGACTTGACTTGCTAAAAATTGATTTATCGTTTCGTTTCCCTCTCGTCAGATACGAATGAATGATAGATAGATACTAGATTGCACGCCGTCAGGTGCTAAATTGCGCCGTGTAACCTGGAGTTAGCAGCGTTTATTGAGCTGTAAAACGGCAGGCAGTTTAGTTTGAATACCTGTTTTTAACAAAGTTTTGACGTTTCAATACTTTAGAATGTATGTTTTTAATGCTTGCATTTATACTATACAAGTTTTAAATGATAAGAAATAAAATGAGAAGTAGTAGTAGTAGTATTTGAATGAGAAGAACGAAATAAAAGTTTTATCTTATGGAACGTGTTTGTCAGCTGTGATATGATGTGACCGATTTTGTAATGTTTGTTGTAATTTTAAGTACGGGATCATTATTTTCTTGTCATTCAAATTCATATCTAGAAAATGACATGTAACCTAAAATTTAATTTTAGTACCACCACCACTATGTTATCACTTTGAATTTCATTCGCCTATTCTTGATAAAAAAAACGTATATGCACCTCAAAATTTCGTTCACTACAAGTAAATAGGATTTGATCGCGATAATCTCTTGTTGCAGCAATACTTGATGTTTATCAATCAATCACAATAACAAGACAAACTAGTATACTAAAAATGGTACCGACATACTCCAGAAACTTTCTAGTAATTAAAGAGCACACAGTGACAGTATTTTAAATTATGCTCTCTTAAAAAAACCTTGCCGTTTTGTTTTGTTTTGTGTTGTCATTTTTTTCAATAAATCTCTACTATGATTATTGATTACTCACTTAAATAATTTATTTTACTTCAGGAATACGTAAGAAAAACGGTAGATTCGATGTATAATATTTTGAAAAATCGTACATTTAAACAAAAAATTATAATGTTTCCATTTCTGCTAGTTGGCCTGGTTGGTGCTAGTATTTGATATGGTAAGAAGAAAATTGCCAAATGTGGAGCAGATAAATGATTAATTTACAAAAACTATAGTATTATTGTAACACAATGACTCGTTGATAAAAAAAAAAAAAAAAAATTGTAACACAATGACTCAATGACACGTCACTGGTCAAAATCAAATGGAACTCAAAGAGTTAAAAAGATATTTTGATTCATAATAAGAAAAATCCTCTGTTTTATTATCATCAACACTCCCTCTTCTACGAGCGAGATTCATTTCCTCTGCTCATCTCTGATACTCTCTCTCTCTCTGTTTCTTCGCTCTGGTCGCCGAGAAATGGCCGTAATCAACAGCCTCCGACGCTTGGCTCGTTCCACTCAGGTTCTCTTCAAATCATCTGACTTCTTACTCACTCGCTTCTCTCTCTCTCTCTCTCTTTTATTTATTTTTTCCTTTGATGCTGCTTACTATTCCCATATTGATGATGATCCTCGATTTGCTTTTTAACTGGATCATCATCAGACCTAGAGAAATTATCACTGGATCAACCAAATTCATAAACGTCACTCGTCACTAGTTAATAATCAATCGATTTGTCGTTTCCATTTCGTCATTGAGCATGATATCCATCTGCGTATCGCTTAACAGATCAGGATTCTAAGGAACGTTGAAATGCCAAAAACTGGGAAAAGTTTAATTTTCTTTTCGAATCACCTTCATGCGACTTTTTGGGAGTATATTCTTGTGAAGATTCTCCAGTCATCTGGGAACCAATTTTTTATATTGTCAATGATGCTTTATAATTTGAAGAGGAATCCCTTTGGAATTCATTATAAACTAAAACCTAAATAGGTGATGTGATTCATAGCTCAACCTCAGTGCTAATGTCTCTCCTTCTCATCATGGCAGGTTAATTTGCACAGCAGGTATGCTGCTTCGTCCAAATGCATGTCTGGGAACTATACCTCAAGGATCTTCACTACACAGGCATCCCCGGAGAAATCCCCAGTTGGGTGAGTTTTCACTGTGATTTCTGGTGCCTCAAGGCTTCATGAATAGTGAAAATGTTTGCTTAGACCTACATGAAATGAGCAGGTCAAAGGGGCATGATATGCTTGCACCTTTTACAGCTGGGTGGCAGAGTGCTGATTTAGATCCCTTGATCATTGCTAAATCCGAGGTGATTACCATTATATTGTAATTGCTGATTGTTAATACAAACAAGTGTGACATTTCTTGATTTGTTATGCAGGGAAGTTATGTGTATGATGACCATGGGAAGAAATATCTTGATTCTCTCGCTGGTCTTTGGTGTACAGCTTTAGGTACACTTCCTTCTATTAGTTGCACATGGCTTGATGTTTCTCCTTGTATATAGTTGGATATTGGTGCAAGTGTTAACATTATGTCATTGATACCCCAAAATCTTGCAGGAGGAAATGAGCCAAGGCTTGTCTCTGCTGCTGTTGAGCAATTGAAAACCTTGCCGTTTTATCACTCCTTTTGGAACCGTACTACTAAACCTTCTCTGGTACTCAAGACTATTCCTTTTGGTTTCATTATTACAATGTTTTTCTACGGTATGTTTTATGCTTTCTGTATGCTGTTTAAAGACTCATTGCAGTATACTGTGATGTTCAGGATCTTGCTAAGGATCTTTTAGAAATGTTCACGGCCAACAAAATGGCCAAAGCATTTTTCGTAAACAGTGGATCAGAGGCCAATGATACACAGGTTTGCATAACTATGCGCCTTACCTTGATCTCTCCTCTTTCTATACAAGAGTCCTTTTTTAATAAATCTCATGTATGTATATATGCAGGTCAAGCTAGTTTGGTATTACAATAACGCACTTGGGAGGCCCGAGAAGAAAAAGTTTATAGCGAGAAATAAATCGTAAGAAAGGATATTTGCTTGTCATTTTGTGTTTGTCTGTTACTATAAGATCACCAAAGTTCTTATAAGTGCGGTGTTATGAATTCAGGTACCATGGTTCCACTCTAATATCAGCAAGTTTGTCTGGGTATGATAAATATTGTTACTCAGATATATTTTTTAGAAGTGCTATAGATTGTTTGCTGTTCCTGACAAATGTAATCCGTTCTTCTAGTCTTCCAGCGCTTCACCAAAATTTTGATTTACCTGCACCGTTTGTGCTGCACACAGATTGCCCTCACTATTGGCGTTTTCATCTTCCAGGTATGAATGATTCCCACTTCCAGTTTTAAAGTAAAGGTAGTCTTGTATTTTAACTTTGGAATTGTTTGTCCAGGTGAAACGGAAGAGGACTTCTCAACCAGATTAGCCAAGAATTTAGAGGATCTTATCATTAAGGAGGGACCAGAAACCGTAATAATTCTGTGATTACTTACGCGTGTTTCACTCTTTATGCATCGAAGAAGATGCTGGCGTCTCAATCTAACACAAATGTCTTTTTTTATTAGATTGGTGCTTTTATCGCTGAACCCGTAATGGGTGCTGGGGGTGTGATACCTCCACCTGCTACCTACTTTGAAAAGGTCATCTTCTGAATCTTTGTTAGTACCAATAACATGATTATGCAGTTTAGTGTTTATATATTTGTTGGATGTGACACTGAGTTCTTTTCCCCGTTTCATTTTGTTAACCGGAATGTTTTCTCTCTTTCTGTGCTACAGATCCAAGCTGTTGTTAAGAAATATGATATCCTGTTCATTGCTGATGAGGTATGTGCATATCTAATTGAACCATGTTTACTGTCTACGCAACGGATCATGACCCCAAATCTATCAAGAAGAAAAGATACCATTATTCGTTTTTATTTTGGTTGGCCATTAATTCAGGTGATATGTGCGTTTGGACGACTCGGGACCATGTTTGGCTGTGATAAATACAACATCAAGCCAGATCTTGTGTCCTTAGCTAAGGTGAGATTAACAAGCTAATCTCTGTTGTTCACTTTTCCTGGACATCTTTTAAATGTGTTAATATGCAGGCACTGTCATCAGCATATATGCCGATTGGAGCCATTCTTATGAGTAAAGAAGTGGCAGATGTCATTTATTCTCAAAGCAACAAGCTAGGTACGGTTTTAGTAATGTTCACCGTGGTAATATCCCAATGTTCTGATCTTAAAATGCTGTTATAAACTCTTTTATTTTATTTTATATCAGGTGCTTTCTCGCATGGATTTACTTATTCTGGCCATCCAGTTTCATGTGCTGTAGCAATTGAAGCGATAAAGATTTACAAGTAAGTTTGACAAATGAGCCAGGTCTGAACTGTAATTACCAAAAAACTTAAAACATGTCACACGGCTGATTAAGTTTCTCGTTTCACTATTCTTATCTGCACTTCATTGACGGTTCATACTCATCATTACAGAGAGAGGAACATACCGGAGCATGTCGCCAAAGTTGCCCCAAGGTTTCAAGATGGGCTTAAAGCTTTCGCCAGTGGTAGTCCTATTATTGGAGAGGTATAGTTTCTTTTAGTCACTACTCATCAGTCTTTTTCTCTTCTAAAGTATATGACTGAGCATTTTGTGATGGTTGTTAGATAAGAGGAACGGGTTTGATTCTCGGGACTGAGTTTGTAGACAACAAATCGCCAAACGAACCATTTCCACCAGAATGGGGTAAAGTCTCTCTCACATGACCAAACAAAAAAATTATCTCCTCTCCTAAACTCATTACGTTGCTAAATCTCTACACCATTGTCAAATGATGATTACAGGTGTTGGAGCATACTTTGGAGCCGAGTGCCAGAAGCGTGGGATGTTAGTTCGTGTTGCAGGTGATAGCATAATGATGTCTCCACCGCTCATTATCTCACCTGAAGAGATCGATGAGGTAAATCACCAATCTTGAGACATTTATATGGCTTGTTGTCTGCTAAATCTTGTGACCAGTTCCCTGAAACTCTGGTTTTCTTTGAATATAAATTTTCAGTTGATTGCGATCTACGGGAAAGCATTGAAAGCAACGGAAGAGAGAGTAGAAGAACTCAAGACTCAGCACAACAAGTGAGAAGCAGAGTTCTGATTATGTTCGACGAAAAAAGTTGTTTAGATTCTCCAAATCTCTCTCCTTGGTTTGATTGCCACTTGCTTTGCACAAATTCAGAAATTTCAGTTCTATGCTTAATAAAAAAAGCATCCAACTTTAGTTCCCTTTTTCTCCAGCTCTTGAAATTGAAATTGATCTCGAGAAAACAAAAAATGGTTGCAAAGTATATTTTATTTCACAAAACAGAGACATGACCATGTTTGCCTGCAATGTGATCTAACCAAACCACACTAATGGTTTGTGACCCTGTACTAATGGTTGTTTTCATGTATCATCACACTGTCTGTTTATCCTTAAAGTAGAGTAAGTAAGCCATTTATATCCTTCTTCAAACATTCTGCTTGAGAAATCACAGTAGAGAAGATACAGAAAAACGCAAAATTACTGCACAACTTTCAGAACATGAGACACAGAGTTTGTGAACATCATCAGTCACCACATTCAGGAGAAATTTCTTAACTAGAGAACATCTATTTAGGCACTCTCCATTATTACAGAACACATGAATCACCCTGGAGTTTTTCAAGATCGAGGACGTTTTTTATTTGCATCTCTTTTCAATCTTCTCTCTCTTGAACTTAGTGAAGACTTGAACCCTGCTCCATCTCCATTCTCAGAGTCATACAAATCTTTAAACGATTTCTGCACGTTGCAAAACAAGAAGTGATATAAAAATGATAACCGAATACGATTTGTGTGGTAAAGAAGAGAATGAAGAGTTGTTTCATAAACGACGAACCTCTCTCATCTCGGCGAAACTAACAACGTAGAAGGTTACGACGGAGACTGCAAGAATCCCAAGAACAGGCAGACCAATATGGCTAAGCCCATCCATTTTCTTCTCTGAACACAATTAAACACAGCCAAACTTCTCTTCTCTCTTGAGGATAAGGCTCCTTTTATACACTGTGCGCTCTTCAAAACCACACAATCCTTTAACCATACATTATTAAACATTTAATGACAATTGTAAACCAGATTAATTCTGAATATAAAACTTATTAACAATCTCTGAATGGTTTTGTCCTCACTAGCAATAGAAGATTAATTATTTGTTTCTGGGATACAGCTTAAATTGGTAACAGGTAAAAAAAGACTATAGAATACAAATCAAACCCCTAAGAGGAAATCACCAATTTTGTTCAAATCAAACTCTAAGACCAAATCACATTTTTTAAACATCCAAATCAAACCCTACGAATTACATAAAGAGAGATCTTCTTCTTAGTGCGTTCACGTGAACAGCTTCTCCGATATGTTTGTGTAATAACCTTCATCACTCACTTCTTTTTCCCCCTTGAATATCTCTGCATCATCAAAACCTGTTCCCACACATTTCATCTCATCAGTCACACCATATGTCTCAATCTTCCCCAATAAAAACTAGATTCTGTGGAAGCTTTGTTTTACCTGAACCCAAGTCCTCTGTTTCGTCGATAACCGCTATTTCCTCCGTCCTCTTAACCGGCTCGAGCGACTTCCAGTCTGAGCTTCCATTTCCTTCTATACAAACTTGGTTTCTCGAAACCCAATCTTCAAGCACTTCCATGTTGCTGTACGATAACGGGTCTACAATCTCATCTCCGCTCTCCACACCCCTAAAGAAAGAAAACAAACAAACCCTTCAAAGCTCTGTTTTGAATAATCAAGAAGAAGCAAAAAAGATTCAAACTTACAGTCGTCTGAGACGCATATTATACTGAACAAACACAAGATCGCTGAGCCGTTGCCTCTCAATAGAGTTCTTCGTCTCATAAACTTGCTTGACCGGCGTCAGATTCCTCCCAGAGCCAACCAACGAGCTGCATGTCTGACTCAGAATCCGTATCGCAAACCTTGAAAGGTTCAAGCAGCTTTCTCCATACGTAGACCACCACTCAGCTACAACGAAGAAGAATCAAAACCATGTTAAAGCACGAGTCTTTACTAAGACTTCAATGAATCAAAAATGGCGTAACCAAGTACCAGGAAGCATTGTGTCACGAGCTCTGATAGCTAAGTTCCTCCCGAAAATCCCGCCGGCATTCTTGTACGAGTTTATGTCCTTGACGATTACATCTTGCACGTTCACGTCAGGGACAAGCTTCTCAATGCAATCAACCACAGCTAAATGGATCTCACTACGCATCTCTTCATCAATACTGTAGAAGAACTTCGGGTTAAGGTAGAAACCAGCAGCGTGCAGAGGAAGACGATGCTGCTGCAACCACCACTTGTCTATAATCTTCCAGTAGATTATGTAATCCTCCCTGTGAACCAAATGCGTCTTGATCGCTTCTTTCGCTCGGTACAGTCCTGCGTAGACGTACCCCATCGCAGGCCTCTTCTCAGAGCAAACGATCTTCAAAACACGTAAAAGAGGAACCGTAATGTTGTTCGCCAACGTCAACGCCTTCCAGAAACTCTCGTCGCTGATAGTCTCTGCCATCGCTAACCCACCAGCTTCCTTCGAGTAGGGACATTCGTTCCACTCGGAGGAAGTGACCATAGACTGCAAATGAGGCTTCAAATCAGCGAATCTCGCCATCGTTGCGAAGTTCGTAGCGGAGACGGTGAATCCCGGAAGCACAATGTCGTTGCCGAAAGTGAATCTCCTCATGAGATTCAAGACGTCACTGTGATTGTATATGATTCTTGTGACGGTTCGTGCTTGTTCTATGATATCGCTTATCCAATCAATCTTCCCAAACTCTTCGAGCATCTTCTCAAGGCAATGCGCAGCACAAGGAACCCAGTAAAGACTACGATACACATCCATCAGCTTCTTCCCTGCAGAAACGTAATGATCTTCGCATTTGGTGATCACTTGAACGACGCTCGTCTCTCCGACTTCTTCAACCACCTCCTTAAGCAACTCGTACAACTTATCATCATCATCAACATCACCATCAGAAGAAGAAGCTAATATCTCCGACGCGTCAACGGATTTCAAGAAGACTACTTTCTCCGGCGAGTAAACGAAGAAGTTAAGAACCTTTGTGGCTTCGTTAGAGCTCAATTCCTGGACTAGAACGGAGCAGCCAGTCTTCTTCCACAGCAACTTGCATTCATCGATTTCGTTCTTCATCTCCTCCACGCAGCTCTTCAAAACCCAGCCTCTGAGGTCTTCATGATTAGGAATTGAAACACCGAATCCTCCGGAGACGATCGCGTCGAACAACGGCTGGAAATTAACAGAACTCACCGCGTCGAAATCAGCTCCGATGTCGAACAGAAACCGTCCGATCGCCATGTGAACCGTCTTCTCCCGCTCTTTCGACGACGGATGAACAATGTTCTTCACGCTACTAATCGCCACCGGGATCAGATTCTCCATCAGATCGCCGTCGCCGACTTCAACATTCGCCAAATCACTCCGATCGAAAGCAGCATTGTTGTTACTGTTCTTCCTACTCCTGTAAGTCCTCTGCTTCGTCCTCCCCGAGCTCTGACCAGCTACTAACTCCGGCGATTTGAATCCGTTATCGTCGGCATCGGAAGGACCAGCAGGAACGATCTGAGTCGTCGTCGTCGTCTCTAATTCATCACCAGGAGGGAAATAAGCTATAGGCAACGGCTCAGGGCTCGATTTCCGTCTCTTCCTCTGACGTCTCACAGTGCCATCGATACACTGCTGCAGAAACAGACGTACTTCCTCGGGGACTTGATCGCAGATCGTTCCTTGCCCCTTTTTGCCGGCGAGATGCTCCTTGACTCTGGTGATTCCGCCGCCTTTGAACATTTTCCGGCAGTAGAGACATCTCATCTGGACTCGATCTCCGTATTTGTAGACTAGACAGTGCTTCCACGCACTGTCTTGCTTCTGTGGTGTGAGAGCTACAGGCTCCAAATCCGAATCCATTCTTAGAGAAGCCTGCAAAAGAATCAAATCCAGAAGAATTTCACATTGCTGATTCGAGCTGATGCAAATCGAATTACAATTTGAAACCCTAGATCCTCCAATTCACGTTATGAAATCAGAATCAGCTGAAGAAACAAGCTCGGAACGTAGATGTTTCCCAATTCCGGTAATTTGAAAACGGATCGGAAATTCTAAAACCCAGTACACCAAAATCTCAACCGAATTTACAAACGAATCAAACCGGTGAATTTTTCTCAGTTTTGTTAATCGTAAAAGGAGGGAGACGGAGAAGAATTAAACGAACCTTTTTGGTTTGGAGGTTGTGACCGGGTTGGTTACGGGGGGTGGGATCGGTTCGGAATAAAACTTGATTAAAATTACGGTATAAAGAGTTCGGTTCCGGGGAAGAAGAAGGTGGAATCAGACGGAGGAGAGGAGTCGGAGAAACGGAGGAGAGGAATCTGAGGGCGACGGAGAAATGCAATGTCTGGGAGATTTTTCTGAGATGACCCGGCTCGTTAGGGTTCGACAGGAAGAAAGGTTGGGCAGCTTGTTTTTCTGGTTTATAAAAACGACGATTTTTAATTTGTGACGTCTTTTCTTTAATTAATCTTTTTTCTTTTGCTAAATGAACTTTTTTTTGCGTAAGCTGATTCGGTTTTAATTCGAGGACTAACGTCGATATTTGCATAAAGTCTAAGGTCTGATATGAGATTAAGTAACTTTACTTACAAAATCAAGAGAAATTTATTGTCTACGAAATTATCTTACTTCGGAATATCATAATTCAGCTAAAAGCCTAAAAAGTAAACATTTCAATTAAAACGATTCAATCCAAGTTGGTTAAATAGTACATGGAACGAACATTCATAACTACAAATGTGGTGATCAACTGAACTTTAGACTAATTTACACATGTTTTTATTCACTTCTTAGGGAGTAAGACAGTTATTTTTAGTTGTTGTATCTTGATGTTTTATTAGAAGAGTATTCAGCGAAGTACGAGAATTATGTTTTTGTATCATTTCAAGACATAAGTAACTGACGAGAAGATATAATTTCCAGATTCGAAACTGAAGTAAACAAAATGAGAAAGAAAAAAAAGAAAGGCCAAGAATGAACGAAGAGAACAATCATTTGAGATCTTTAAAGGAGAAAATGTCATTCTTGTCACATTGCAACAAGTAAGTTTTCATTAATCTTTTGCAAAACACAAATTTTCACAAGTTAAAAGCTTATGATATGAGATTATTTCTACAAGCATCTATAGGAAGTCGCATTAATTTTTCCAGGAAGATTAGATTGAAGTATGTTCAACTAATAGTAACATTACTAACAATGAATGAAAATAATTTTGGCTTCCAATTAAAGCAAGGATAGAGATTCGAATCGCATAACATGTTTTGATGCAGATGTTTGTTAAGCTATATCTCTAACACCATCAAATCAAAGTGACAACTTAAGCATGATTCTAATTCGTCTATACGTTCCTAGAAGCAAAGGACATAGACAAAGTAGCAATCATAGTAATGGAGAATGATAAAGAAAAAGCGAATTCAGTATCAATCAACCAATGTGAAATTCCAAATCAGAAATGAACATTTTCAAGCTTTCCTAACAAAAACGTTTGCATCAAAGCTCTAGAAACTAATCATTCGAGAAATTTCACACACAATAGATGGATAAATCAAGTCACAAAGAGCAAATGATAATGATAAAAGGGCAAAAATCCAGAACCAATCTCAAAAACCATAAGTCATAACCATTCCGAAACAAGATCCACATTCATTCTAGAAACTATAAAAGTAGATTCCAAATTCGATTAAAAAAAACAGATAGATAGACCAATAAAAATCTCACGATTCTCTCTCAGAACCTGAGCTTGGTGAAGAACCACCTGTTCTTGCCAGTCTTGAAACGCTCCTCGAGCTTAGCCTTGGCTTCCTTAAGCGCAGCGACCTTCTTATCCTTGGACTGAAGCGCGTCGATCGTCGCGACATCCTTCAGATCCACGTCGAGCGTGTAGCGAGTGGGCATCAGATGCTGGTAGTTCACGAGCTTGATGAAACATTTGACGCGGGACTTCTTCGCCGTCTTCTTCGCCGAGTCCTTGCGGATGACCTTGCTCGGGTACTTCTTCAGACCGGCGACGAGGCAGTGTCCGTAGGGACGGTCGCGGGATCCGTCGTCGAACGATTTGATGATCACGGCCTTCTTCCCGGCGTAGCGACCTTGGAGGAGGATCACCGCTTTGTTCTGCTTCAGGAATTTAACCATGGCTGCTTCTTCTTCTTCTCACCCCCCTCTTACGGCGAAGAATGATTAACTCCAGAGACTAAAGATGGAGACGATTAGGTTTTGGGATTTTATAGTGTTGCTGAGAAAAACCCTAAAGGCGTGTGAGTATGGATCGAATCTGGGCCTGTGTAAAATGGTCTAAGCCCATAAATGATTCCAAAATGATCTTGTGACGAAAATGGTTTTTGTGCTTTTCGATTAGATAAGTAATTTTAATCGGTTCGTATTTGAATTGAACAACTTTATGGACTGACAAAGAAAACAAAAAAGGTAACACGCTATAAGTAAAGTTTATTTGCATCTTGAAGGTTTGATATTGTCATATTGAGGTTTTGTTTTTTAATGGAATAAAATAAGACATTCTTGACACTATTTTCTTCTTTATAAGTAACTAGATTAAGACCCGCGTATACGCGGGTTTATTTTAAGATTTTGTAATAAAATCATGGAAAAGTATTAAACCAAATTTGATCATTTTAAAGTAAACAGAATAATATTAAAAACCCGATAAAAATATTTAAATAAAATAAGATCGGTAACCTTTTTACGTTTTTATTGTAATTGATATTTTTTTTGAATTCATGATATGAAAAATGAATTAATTTGTTTTATTTTTATTTTTATCCAATATAGAAAGACTTATATATGTCTAAATATGATCAACTGATTAATTAATTCAACAAAACTTTATTATTCCATTCAAGAGATTTCAATTGATGAAATCTTTATTTAATAATTTTTTACCTAACAATATTGAAAATTAAACTATTTAAAATTAGAATATCGGTTCATTATATTTTCTTAATATTAGTTAGTTGCTTGATGATGTCAAAAAAAAAGTTAGTTGCTTGATAATTAATTTGTTAGTTTTCTATTTATATTGTTTCTTTCTCAATTTTGTTTTTGACTCAGACCATTATAAATTTTCATTTTCATTATTAGTTAGTTTTTTTTTAATTATTTTTCTAGTTTTTATATCTGTTTAACATTTTTCCAATTAACATGTCTTCACCGGATACAAATACATACAATCGACAATAATTTTGATTTCTATCCAACTAATATAGAGTTAAATATTATTCATTGATACCATGAATTTTAAATACATGATTTTTTATGAGAGAAAAGATTATACAAAAGATAGAAGCACATAATTGAATCGCAATAGCTTATTATATATTGTTTTTTTCCTGTTCATAATGGGAATATAAACACATATCGCAATTTTGTGAGTTATAAAAATCATGCGTATTGCTATCATGTTGTTTGCTTTGATGAGTTTGTGAATGAGAAAAAAGACTACTTTAACTCTCTTTTTATAGGGGTTCATGTAACTTATTCCATGCAGTTATAGGAAATTTAGTTTACCTAACCTATTTCATGTACTAATAGGATTTTATTTATTTCATTAATTTGAATTATATGTGTTTGGATAATATAAATTTGATGAAGAAACCTTTTTCTATTAGGATATGACAAATATAATTTTTTTTTCTTTTAACTATAAAAGATTAAAATTTCGTTTTTTTTCCTTTATCTATTTTTTTTAATTATTATTTTTTCCTTTTTTTCTAAGACACATGTCACGATCTTAACGGACATAACATTAAAAGTGACACATGTCGCAATCCTAAATTTTATAAAAATCCTACGTGTCGCAACCACATCGCGCGCATCCAGCTTTATATAATAAGATGGAAAAACATTTTCCCACCCAATATAAGAATGAGTCTATTTGGGTTCGCAGCCTTCGTCTACTAGTATATGATTACTTATAAACTCAAAACATAACAAACAAAGCATCCACATAGTTATATTCCACAAAGAGAATGATTAAGTAACACAACGATCATTTTCTTTATTACAGCAATAATTTGGATGTAATGTAATCGTCGATCCCGAAGTCTTTAGAAGCATGCGTCCAGAACACAACAGCAGCATATCGCAGCACAACTGCCAATAGAAAAAGACCACGTGTAAGAGTTTTCTTCTTCTTTTACATATCTTTATTGAGTGAATTTGAGTTTAAAATAGTAACAAATTCTGAAAAACTATAGAAACATAGAACATTCATGTTTGGCAACGCGCGTACGTAACTTTCCATGGCTTACTTTCTTTAGTTGAGAAAAAACGACACATTTGAGTTGAAAAAATCGCAAGATATTCAATATCTCGAGTCGAATTTGTAAATATTCCATTATATTTCCACTGATGAGTGATGATCCCACGAGTGGAAGATTTTAACGGATGATTACTGATTAGAACTATGTTTTTTTGAACTAATCTATAAACACAAAAAGAAAGTAAAAAGGGAAAAAATAATAATTACCATCCTTTCAAGAACCCATCGCCCTTGGACTTCGTCTCCACAGCGGCTACCGGAGGATCACCAACCACCGCATCTCTGGTCGGATATCCAATTGGTGGTGGACTTGTGTACGGCCCCTGTGAAGGTTTGTCGACTGAAGCAGTAAAACATTGTTAAATCATATATCTAATTGGTCTTACTGGAATATATAGTTGTTGAACATACGAATATCGATAATGAATTGAAAGAGGAAAAAAAAATGAAGAATTTAGAGGATTACCAGAAACTTGATTGTGATCGGAATGATTCATTGTGACTCAGAGATTGTGACTCAAAGAGAAGTCAAGAGCTGGGGATTATGAAGAGGAGAGACTGTTGTGGTTTTAATTTAAAGAAGACGAATACTATGAAGTTCTATAAAAGTAATCGTTGATGTTTGGCGATGTATATATAAATAGAGACTATGAAGATGCGGACGAGAAAAGCTGGTGTGGACTTCTTGAGAATATTGGAGTGGTTGAATTCAATTAATTCATGCTTAATTTGAAAAATTCATCGTATTATGGAATCTTATAATATTTTAACATTAATGGTATATGAGTTTATCATATAGTATAAAGGTTTTTCAAAGTGTTAAGTTTTATCCGAATATTATTAGTTCCGTCAGTGAGTACTATGATCAAATTTAATTATTTACCTATATAGAATGCTTTGTTTATAAACTAATTTATGAAATTTAGTGTGTTTTCGGTTATAATGCTTTTGATTTGTGTTTTTTTTTGTAAAGTAGAGTTCAATTTCGATTTCGCGAGATGAAAATATTGATTAACGTTCGTCGAGGTAGTTGAGATATCATTATAGAGACATATTTACCTAGCTATTAAACTTTTATTTTTAAAAAATTGAAGTCCTCTGAACAGTACTAGTGTATTAGAGCATATTTAACGCATGTAGCTTAGAGAGGTGCTAAGGAAATCTTGCATTTAATTTAAATCAAGAACTCATTTTTAACCAAGCTTCGACGTCTATTTAGTCGTTATAAGCGTCGGAGCTTCCGTTCATCACGAGTCTTTTCTCTTTATTTCTCTGTTTATCTTTGCTTTTTCTCTTTCTTTGCAAACTTTTTATATTAAAATATTACCTAATCGCATTATCAAGCATTCTTGCGTTATACATGCTCTTAGTGAAGAATCTTAATATAGTGTTTGCTTGAAGAATTAACGACACATAAACCATTTCTAAAACGTTTATTTTCAATTTTCAGCAAAATGTAGGTGCCTAAAGTTTGCAATTCCAATCACGGAGTGGCTTTCAAAACATATTGGTTTCGTGTTGCCTGACATTTTTGATTCGTTTCACATGATTCGTACAAGCAAGATACAATAATCGTTGTGGATATCTTTTAGGTATGTAGCCAAACATCTTTTCATATGATAATGGTTACGTTGTCAATTCACCGAATATACGAACCAGATTAATATATACATATAAATCGTGGTGGATCGATTTTAAAAACCCACCGCGTGAGATCTTTAAAGATTTCAGGAATCAGGCCCTGCAATAGTGGTAAGTGGCAAGTATTGGTTTTACACTTTTACAACATATGGTCTATGGATCCCCTTTCTTCAACGGTTTTAGATCTCTTAATCTATTCAACTACTATTAATCTATGTACTTGAAATTATTATAATAACTATTTTTTAATATGCAGATTATAATTAAGTCATGGTCAGCTAATATAAGTCCTTCGTACGTTTCCACATCTCATGCATTTTGCATGGCTGTTTTTATCATGTGCAATTAAAGCATTCATGTTAAATTGAAAAACATACCTTTTAATTTAGGAATCCTACTCACCAAAAGATAGGAGTATATATTAGAGTCTATCAAATACTATTTTTTTTTTTTTTTTGTTAACACATCAAGTTACCAGTTCACATAATTTTTTAGATTGCCAAAGAGGCAGTGATCACATTATATATATATATATATATATATTTTTTTTTTTGGCAACACAGTGATCACACTATATGTGTGCGTATATAGTAGATATATGAGAATATGACCAAAACGGTGGTCTATACCCGGAACGTGTGGATAAAATTTTTACAAAATCAAAAACATGTCGATAAAGTGATAATCATATACTAGTTACGTATATTAACTTAAATGACCACTGCACAAGTAACGGCTCAACAACTGGAATAAAATATAGTTTCCCTAAAAAAAAATGTACATGTTCAACTTCCAGCCATCCTTGCTAATAGATGACAGTTACATATATTTATACTAAAAAATATGGTAAGATCGACACCTTCATTTGAAAAGGAAGTCGACTGATATATATTTACATGCATGGACAGAATGGTCCAGTCAATATAGCACATGCGTGGAATGAAATACACTAAAATAATGATCTTCTAGCCTTTCATCTTTTTGTTATGATTAATTATAAATATATAATTCACGTAACTTAAGCACTATATATATCAGTTACCAAAACACACAATATAGTGGAATTTTTTTTTTAAAAGTTTAAAGGAGAGAAAGTTATGAAAGTAACGCAAAAGCGTAAGATAGTATTCATCCCTTACCCGGCGCAAGGCCACGTGATCCCGATGATCCACCTTGCGTCGGCCTTCCTCAGCCGTGGATTCTCCCCTGTTGTTATGACTCCCCAGTCTATTCACCGTCGGATCTTGACCAGCAACCAGGATCTTGGGATCACGTTCTTGCCCTTATCTGACGGCCAAGAATGTCTGGATGCACCTCCCTCGGACTTCTTCTCGATAGAGAAGTCGATGGAGAATATCATGCCTTCTCAACTCGAGACGCTCCTTCTAGAAGAAGACTTTGGTGTGGCTTGTGTTGTGGTTGATTTGTTGGCTTCGTGGGCTATAAGAGTGGCTGAGCGATGTGGCGTTCCGGTCACTGGATTCTGGCCAGCGATGTTCGCTGCATACCGAATGATCGAAGCCATACCGGAGCTCGTACGGACAGGCATAGTTTCCCCAAAAGGTAGTTTTTTTTATAATATAATTGTTATTTCACATATATACGTAGTATCTTTTGGAGAATTATGACAAATAAACCACAGATTTTCACATTTATATATATATATATATAGATATTTACTAGTATTTATGTATAATTAAAAATAATATTATTAGATTAATTAGTCGTCTAAAAATTACACACATGAAGGAATAAGGTACAGTACAAACCACTAGCGTAAATTAAATAATATACAATATTGTTTGGTATCGATATTTTGATATATTCGTTATAAAAGGAATGATATCATGGTAATGTTGACGTTAATTCAATACTATAATTAATTTTAAGTTTAAAACAAAACATTTGTAGTTGATAATTACCTACTTAATTATATGACTACGTATAGAATATGCAATCATTGAATGCGATTAAGAGTCTGACTGGTTTAACCGCTGCGGTTGCGGTTGCGGGAGTTTGCGGCTGCGGGAGTTTGCGGAAGCGGGAGTTTGCGATTAAAAGCTGTTTGTACGACTGGTATAGCAATTCATAGCGGTTGCGTTTGCGGGATATTTTTGACTGGTTAGCCAGCGGGTGCAAGAGCGGTTTAACCAAAAGTTACTAAAATAAAAATAATATATAATTATTCAAAACATTTATAACCATATTAATAATTTTTTTTTTGAAATATATTTTTTGATGAATTTTTAATTTGAAAACTACCCTTTTTTTTGGTTTTGAAAAATACACTTTTTATATGTAAAATGATTATTCCTAATTTAATAAAAACGAAATTCAAATAAGAAATATAAAATATTAATATTTGATAATAATTTTGTATCATTTTAACATCCTAATTACCTGTTTAGTTTTTTTTAAACAATTTAATAAAAATATAAGATTGTTTATATAAAGTTTAAATGGGGTGAGATTAAAGTTGTTTATGCAAAGTTTCAAAAATATTTAAATTTTTCAAAAGATAAACATTAAAAATGAAAGATATATTTCTCCACTTTTAAATTTTTAATAATTTATAAACTTTAAATATATGTAAAGTTTTAATTTATTTAAAGTTTCATTTGGTTTGAATGTGTATGAGGTTAAGTTGTTTATATAAAGATCCAAAATATTAAAATTTGTTTCAGTTTAACATATACTATATTTATTTGAAAAAAAACTTATTAGTTTATTATTTTTTTAAATTTTCGTTTATAATTTGTAATTATTTATTATTTTTTTGTTTAAATCACGTCAAAACATACTTTTTACATTTTAAAAGTGTATTTTTCAAAACAGAAAAAATTTAGGGTATTTTCGAAATTTTTAAACATAATTATGGTATTTTTCAAAAAAATATACCCTTATTCCAAATTTGGAGATATTATGTTTTTTTTTTTTTTTTTTCAAACCGCAACCGCCCGCAACCGCAAACGCTTGCGGAAAGGAGCTTTTGATTTTCAGCGATATAGAGCGGTACAGAGTGGTATAGAGCGGTTGAAAGCGGTTGTCGTGATTGTTATAAAACGCTAAGAACCGCTACGAACCGCAAACGCTGCGTTTGCGGGTGGTAGCGGGAGAACCAATCATCACCTAAGAAAACTAATTAAAGTGAAAGTCTTACGAAGTTATATGTCGCGGGTCAACGAATGGTTTGATTAATTATTGAATCACCAATGATAATCACATGAGATCTAGCGCCTAAGACGTAGCGTTATCGAGTACTAATGTCCACATGCATATCTAAGGAAATGAATATATGCAGAACATGTATTTACGTTTTAGTACTGATCGAATATGGATAACTTGAATATAAAAATGCGTGTAAGTATTTAGCACATGCATATGTTGTTGTATCACAGTTTACACATCATGTACTATAAGTCTATGAGACTATGACTTATATAATTTGATATACACAAAGAAATCCTACACAGCTAGATTACTATACGGACGTATACAAATCAACTACGGAAACAATATAAAGTGCCTAGTGGCATTGTCATTTAGTTGACGTATCGGTATCGTATACGTTTGGAACTTTGGATAGAGCACATTTTTATTGTTGTTAATTTCACAGTATTATTTCCAATATGTTAGAAAAATTTAAAGATAACATTAACCAATTGATCAGATCAATCCATCTTACGTGTTAATATTTGCGTGTGTGAAGCATACGTCGATGACTTTTAACCTACGTTAGAGAGAGTAGCAAAGAAGTAATAATGAGTCATATGTAACAAACAAAAATGAATTGATTATTAATGTATCTACGAACATGCACGTCAAATACAATATGATGATTGTGTTGTTTCCTTTGTTACTAAATTATTGCATATTAATTTATAGTTTGTACAATCGCTTGCAGGCTGTCCTCGTCAACCAGATAAACCATTACTTCTACCGGAGCAACCGCTACTATCCGCCGGAGATCTATTGTGGCTGGTCGGAAGTCCGGCAGCTCAAAAAGGACGATTCAAGTTCTGGCAAAGAACACTAGAACGAGCAAAAAGTCTCCGGTGGATCTTGGTTAACTCCTTCAAAGACGAATATGATGAAGATGAATTTAATAATAAAGAAAACATTGGTCGAAACCCTCAAATCCTATACATTGGTCCATTGCATAACCAAGCAGTAACTTTAACCAAGAACCCTAGTTTTTGGGAAGAAGACAGATCTTGTCTTGGTTGGCTCCAAGAACAAAAGCCAAACTCAGTCATTTACATCTCATTTGGAAGTTGGGTTTCTCCTATGGGAGAATCAAAGATAAAAATGTTGGCATTGGCGTTGGAAGCTTCAGGGAGACCTTTCCTTTGGGCGCTAAACCGAGTTTGGCAAGAGGGACTTCCACCAGGGTTCGTGGATAGAGTCACTATTGCCAAGAACCAAGGAAGGATTGTGCCATGGGCACCACAGATCGAAGTTCTTAAAAATGACTCTGTGGGCTGTTACGTGACTCATTGTGGCTGGAACTCGACCATAGAGGTACACAACGACCCACTAGTAAAACCTAAATTTATAAGCTTCAATTTCAAGATCAACTGATAAATAAATTGATTATATTTCATTTTCGGATGTTTCTAATACGTACTATATATGCATACACACAATATGTTTGGTGTTGAGGCATTGCTTGTACATTTATAGGCGGTGGTAAGTTCGCGGAGGCTAGTGTGTTATCCAGTGGCGGGAGATCAATTTGTGAACTGTAAATACATCGTGGATGTGTGGAAGATCGGGGTGAGATTGAGCGGTTTTGGGGAGGAGGAGGTTGAAGAAGGGTTGAGGAAAGTTATGGAGGATCAAGAAATGGGTGAGAGATTGAAGAAGTTGAGAGATAGAACATTGGGGAATGAAGCTCGTTTGTGTTTAGATCGAAATTTTACCTTCTTTAAGGATGGGATAATATGAGGAGATAGGACTATATATATATATATATATATATCATGATATTTATGGACAAGTATTGGATTATTGTTTTCTTGACTAATTATTGTATTGTTTTCTTTCTTTTTTAAAGAAAAAAAAAACAAGGGTGATTGTATTGTTTTCACTTCAATATGAGGACGTATAAATGTAAAGTACTTCCGAAAAGCTTGAATCAATAAATTTTTGATTCAACATTTGAATTTTTTAACTGGATTATATAAAATTCTGATTAGTAGCGGACGCATTCTATCAGCATAAACGAAAATATACGACTCTAGTCTCTAGTGACCAAAAAGTATAATACCAATTCTTCCGAGAGCTAGTCATCATAATAATCAAGTAAAAATTAATCAAGTTTGGTCTACTATGATGCACACATGTCACTCATTGTCGATGAATTAAGTTACATGGGCTTCCAACTCAAAACCAATTGGCAATGAGTGGAGAGGTTCACATCCCTTATATACTGCTTGAGATCCCTTCCAACTTCCGATGTGTGATATTTATTCCTAATATGCCCTCTCGAGACGATGGCTCTTTGGCCATTGATTTCGATATATTCAGACTTGGATCGCCGGCACCAATTTCGAGCTTGGTCGATGATTGGACCAACTATGGATCAGATCAGGGCTCTAATACCATGTTAAGTTACATGGACTTCCAACTCATTTCATAAATCTATCATAGTGGAAAGCTGAAAGCGCTTTTTAAGTCATGCAAAATATGCAAACTGAAAGCGCTTTACTAGTTTTTCTTCAGGCATGTTCCTGTTCCTCCTCATGGTTGATGATGTTAGGAGCAACGCCTTCGGCAGCATGAGCCTGCTTTCTTGCTTTCTGGCTCTGTTGGCTTTGTAGAGCTTGTTTCTCACCGTCGTTTTCTCAAGTTGAGGATAGTCCCGTTTCAAGGCATTGTAGAGGGTTGTTTCATTTACCTTTCTTGTACCAAAGCCACCATTGTCATCCACAAATTTCTTTGCCAAGGCTGATCACATGTCGATTTAACACACGTCGAGATGTCTGATGGCCACATTATTATTTGAGGTAGAATTTGTTCAATGTACATGTGCACCAATATCATGGTTATAATTATTTATTTATTTATTTCTGTAAAAGGGCTTAGAAATTTTGAGTTTATTCTTCATCTTCAATATTGTGTTATCTTATTTCACAAAGCAAACACGTAAGAGTACCATATATCAATTACCAATTCACATTATATAGGTAAGAGTAAATTAATCGATGAAGATATATATATAAGACCTAAACGGAGGTCCATATATACCTGAAGCATGTCGATACAGTTATATATAATCATATACTAATTACATATATTAACTTAAATGACCAGTAACGGCCCAACAACTGGGATATAATAGTTTCTTTAAACAGTTAACGTGTTCAATCAATCGATAAACAATACTTGGTCATATTATATTCAAAACTATGAGAAGACGCCTTCATTTTGTGAGAAATCGACTGATATGTATTCGGTATATTCCTACGTAATTACATTCTTGGAGAGAATGGTCTAGTCAATATAGAACATGCGTGATCTTATTATATAAAGCTGGATGCGCACGACGTGGTTGCGACACGTAGGATTTTTATAAAATTCAGGATCGCGACATGTGTCACTTTTAAGTTTATGTCCGTTAAGATCGTGACACGTGTCTTAGAAAAAAAGGAGAACTTAAAAAAAAAATTCCAGATAAATGTTAATTAAAAAAAACGAAATTTAATTTAATCTATTATATCAAAAAGGAAAAAATAATATTTGCCATATCCAAACAGAAAAAGGTTTCTCATTCATCAAAATTTTTTATTATATAAAGTTGGATGCTTTTAGATAAAGGAATTTAAAAAAAAAATTAATCCATTACAGTTAAAAGAAATAAAAATATATTTGTCATATACTAATAGAGAAAGGTTTTCCATTCATCAAATTAATATTATCCAAACAAATAATAAAATCAAAATAATGTAATAAATAAAATCTATTTGTATAATGAAATAAATAATGTTATGTAAACTAAATTTCATATAACTGAATAGTTACTTGAATCCTATAAAAGAGAGTCAAAGTTTCTCAATCATAAATTCATCAAAGCAAATTCATCAGATCCCTTTGATTCTATTTCTCCAATTAAAAAATCATGTTTTTGACAGTTTTGCGATACATATTTTTATAACTCACAAAATTGTGACATTTGTTTTAGAAAAAAAAAATTATGAAAGTATGAAGATCGTAACATGTGTCATAGAATAAAAAAAAAATTAATATGTATAAGACTAAATAAAAATTAGAAAATCAGATAAAAAATAATTAAAATGAAAAAATAATAAATCCATTAAAAGTAATAAAAAAACAGAAAACAAATAATTTAAATTCTTTTGTTACATCTATTAAGAAAAGGAAAAAAATGCATTTCGAAAAGGAAAAATATCAATATATATTATTTATAATGGTATGAGGCAAAAACAAAATTGAGAAAGAAAAAATATAAATAGAAAACTAACAAAATAATATTCAAGCAATTAACTAAAATTAAAAAATTATAATCGATATTCTAATTTTAAATAGTTTGATTTTCAATTTTTGTTAGGTAAAAAAAATTGAAATAAAGATTTCATCAATTAAAATCTCTTGAATGGAATAATAAAAGTTTGATTAATTAATCAGTTGATCAGATTTAGACATGTGTAAGTGTTTATGTATTGGATAAAAATAATATTAAAACAAATTAATTCATTTTGTCATATCATAAATTCAAAAGAAAAATCAATTATAATAAAAATGTAAAAGTATTACCAATTTTATTTTATTTAAATATTTTTATCGGGTTTTCAATATTATTTTGTTTACGTTTAAAAATGATCAAATTTTGTTTAATATTTTCCATGCTTTTATTATAAAATCTTAAAATATACCCGCGTATACGCGGGCTTAATCTAGTGTGCAATAAGGTTCAACTAATAATCTTCTAGCCTTTCATCTTCCTTGCTATAATTATAACCCAAATTCACATATCTTAAGCAATAAGCACTATATATCAATTACCAAAACACTCAAAATACAGGAAAAAATTTAGAAGTTTGAGAAAGAAAAAGCTATGAAAGTAACACAAAAGTGTAAGATAATATTCATCCCTTATCCGGCGCAAGGCCACGTGACCCCAATGCTCCACCTCGCGTCAGCCTTCGTCAGCCGTGGATTCTCCCCTGTCGTTATGACTCCCGAATCTATCCACCGTCGGATCTCGACTACTAACCAGGATCTGGGGATCACGTTCTTGGCCTTATCTTATGGTCAAGAACGTCCGGACGCACCTCCCTCGGACTTCTTTTCGATAGAGAAGTCGATGGAGAACATCATGCCTTCCCAGCTTGAACAGCTCCTACTGGAAGAAGACTTTGTGGCTTGTGTTGTGGTTGATTTGTTGGCTTCGTGGGCTATAAGAGTGGCTGATCGGTGTGGAGTTCCGGTCGCTGGTTTCTGGCCTGTGATGTTCGCTTCTTACCGTATGATCGAAGCCATACCGAAGCTCGTACGGAAAGGCATAGTTTCCCCAAAAGGTAATTTGATTTTTTTTTTTAATACAACGGTTAATTTACACATATATATTATAGTTTTTTTTTGTTAACAAGAAATAAATCTTGTATATACTTATCTATGAATCACTCACGCAAATTATAGAATTGAAGCCGAATTACTACATGGACACGATATAGTACAAACCACTAGGTTATAAAATCAAATGATATAGAATGTGACCTCAATACTTTGACACATTATTCGTTATAGAAAGAATGATATCATGGTAAATGGTTGTCCACCGATGTCGACGTTTAGTATAGCTTTTTAAACAAAACATTTGTATATATGACAAATTAGAAATGCAATCATTGAATGCGAAAAAGAAACTAAAGTGAAAGTCTTACGAAGTTACATGTCGCGGGTCAACGTAAACTTTTATTAATAATCGTATCGCCAATGATATTAATTCACACGAAATCTAGCGCCTAGACGCATCGTTATCGAATGTAATGTTGTCCACCTGCATATATTTTTTTGTTAAAAAGTCCACCTGCATATATAAGGACATGAATATGCGAAACACGTCGTTTTTTTAACTAGTAACTGATATTTGTACGTATACAAATCAATTACTAATAGAAATGAAATGATAGTTTTTCTATTTACGTTTCCATTCATTTGCAGGCTGTCCTCGTCAACCAGAAAAACCGTTACTCCTACCGGAGCAACCGCTCCTATCCGCCGGAGATCTATTGTGGCTCATTGGAACTCCAGCAGAACAAAAAGGGCGATTCAAGTTCTGGCAAAGAACCCTAGAACGAGCAAAAAGTCTCCGATGGATCTTGGTAAACTCTTTCAAAGACGAATATGAGGAAAATGAGTATAACAATAAAGAAAACAATGGTCGAAACCCTCAAATATTTTACGTTGGTCCATTGCATAACCAAGCATCAACAAGTAACATAACTTTAACCAAGAACCCTAGTTTTTGGGAAGAAGACAGATCTTGCCTTGGTTGGCTCCAAGAACAAAAGCCAAACTCGGTCATTTACATCTCATTTGGAAGTTGGGTTTCCCCTATAGGAGAATCGAAGATAAAAATGTTGGCATTGGCGTTGGAAGCGTCAGGGAGACCTTTCCTTTGGGCGCTAAACCGAGTTTGGCAAGAGGGACTGCCACCAGGGTTCGTGGATAGAGTCACCATTTCCAAGAACCAAGGAAGAATTGTGACATGGGCACCGCAGATCGAAGTTCTTAAAAACGGCTCTGTGGGTTGTTGCGTGACTCATTGTGGTTCGAACTCGACCATGGAGGTACATCTCGATCTACGAGTAAAACCTAAAATTTACGAGCTTCCACTTCAAGATCATGACAAATAAAAGGATTGTGTCATTAATTTTTTCATTCTCGGATATTTCTAATACGTACTATATATGCATACACACAATGAGTTTAATTTTGAGTCATTGCTTGTACATTTATAGGCGGTCGCAAGTTCTAGGAGACTAGTGTGTTATCCTGTAGCTGGAGACCAGTTTCTGAACTGTAAATACATTGTGGATGTGTGGAAGATCGGGGTGAGATTGAGCGGTTTCAGAGAGGAGGAGGTTGCAGATGGGTTGAGGAAAGTTATGGAGGATCAAGAGATGGGTGAGAGATTGAAGAAGTTGAGAGAAAGAGCAATGGGTAATGAAGCTCGTTTGTGTTTGAATAGAAATTTGACCCTTTTCAAGGATGAGATAAGATGAGGAGAGAGGAGTAAAATGTTCATGTGAATCAAAATTGACCTCTGCCTTGGCTCTTAAGGAAATAGTGTTTGAATGTGTTGTTTGTGAGTCTCTTCTAGCAAAGAAGAAGACCATACAGTGGGTTTCCAGGATAATCTCATAACGACATATATATATATATATAGAATGTAGGAATTCTTGATGAAATAATTCATTTTAATCCACTGATATGGTTAAGTGAGATCATTTTAAAAGATAATGCATCGTACTAAACCAAAAAATATGCACGACATGCGTTTAACTAGTGTTACAATGAAATAATTTGTTTTGTGGCATGACTTAACGAATAAATTTGATGCTATATACGTAGTGATAAAAGAAATCTTTCGTATCTATTTCTTTATTGTTTCTCAATACTTGATCTTGTTCATCAGAAATCTTGTTGGTATTTGTTTACCTAATCATTTTTTTTTGTATGGCTCATTGGTAATCTCGTCACTGACTCTCATGACCGTTGGCTCCACGCCCATGAGATTACAAGAATTCTTCAAGTCGCTGAAAGTGGCGACTTGCCCATCTCTTTTGAAGAATCGAGGCCAACTTGTAGTGTAGTTGGGCAGTTCATTTTTAATCGAAGTCTCTTTCTTAACCAAAGAGGAAACGCGTATGTACATAAGTTTTTTTCTTTCTTTCTTGGGGTGCAATTTGAGAGCAATTTAATGATTTAACCTCAATGAATTGGGATTGACAGTCTCATGTGACCAAGCGATCTGCCTACAGAACAACATGCAATACCGGAATTTCACGAGGTAACTAAAGCTTGACCAAAAAGATATTTTTTTTTGTTAGAACTCTCTCACCTAATTATTATTTTTCATGTTTCTTTTACAGATTTGGTAATTTGGTTAGGGTCCACTGTAGAGTCGTCGACAATTTGTTTTTCTTTTTTTCTGACAAATACGTTTTTTTGGTCTTTTGTTTTTTTCGTTAAAGACGTTATTATAAAACTGAGAAAGTGTATATTTGATGATGTATAATACATTACACTGCGAATTCTAATCGAATGTATTTGGTTGTCCTTTTCCCCCTTATATATTATACAAAATCAGATCATATATTTTTTTTAAAATCAAATGGTTATTATTTTTTTGAACAAAGGCTTAGTCAAATGGTTATTACTAATTCGTTAACAGTAGAAAGAGTAGAAGATGGCATGTAAATCAAACTTACATTTGGTATTTTGTGGTAGAAAGCTATCATTTAATATTTTTGAACTTGAACATATAAACAAAAAAGCATTATATATCAATTAATACGATGAACTTTATTTAAAAATCTATAACAAAATATTATAAAAAATGAGTGCAACCGAGAATCGAATAAGAGTGGCGTTTTAATTGCTCGTAGTGTGACAACGGAGAATCGAACCCAATCTTGGCTATGTAATGGATATGTTTATTTGTTCGTTTTTTTATTCTTTTGAAACTGTGTTTCTTTGGTCTTATTTGAACCTCTTTGTTCAATGTTGTCCTTGCCTTCCTTAAATTATTTAAAGATGACAAATAAAACTGAGAAATTGAAACTAAAAAAATGGATCATTGGATATTCTTTAACAAACAAAAAAAGAGAGAAAAACAAATATACAATGCTGGCAGTAATCTTGAAAATATATTCAATTTATATTTTATAGAGAAGTAATCTTTATCTTTAGAGTTTTATATGTAGTATATGTAGTACTTTTCAATAGAGGCCTGAAAGTTGTAAGTAGAAACATAAAGCTGAACAAGTTAGGGTTTTGACGAAAGATGGAGCAACAAGAAGAAAAGATCAGAAAAGTCTACACAAGAAGAAGAACACAATTGAAACCAACTTGGTCACTCCCTGTCGATCTAACCACAGAGATACTCTTAAGGCTGCCTGAGAAAGCTGCTGCAAGATTTCGTTGCATGTCCAAGCTTTGGTCATCAATCACCACCGGTCCATACTTCATCAATTTGTTCGAAACTCGGTCCACACGGCCGAGTCTTGTACTATGCTTCATAAAAGATGATAATTTGTGTGTTTACTCGATTCCTCAACATACTCACACTCTTGGTCAGGAATCAAACAAGTCTTACTCTTCTTCTCAGCCTATTGATAGTTATAGTATGAAATTCCCAGAAGAATACAGTGACTTGTCCCCTACGGAATCTGTCCAGGGCTTGATCTGCCTTCAAGGATCAGGAAAGCCGATAGTTTGGAACCCAAGCAAGAGACGGTTGTTAACCTTACCCAAACCCAGATTGAGATGGGAGCGTATAAAGGTCTTTTTAGGATATGATCCAATCGAAGGCAAACACAAAGTAATGTGCCTTCCTTTGAGAAGAACTGGCGATGTGTGCCTAGTTTTAACATTGGGATCAGCTCAAGAATCATGGAGAACGGTCAAAACTAACCACATACATCGGTCTATCTTTGGTACTGACGGGCGATGCATTAACGGGGTAATATATTATACAGCCTATATGTATCACACTCATGCTTGGGTTATAATGACTTTTGATGTCAGATCTGAAACATTCGGTAGGATAGAGTTACCACCGGGTGCTTGTAGTTTAGAGTTACCACCGGGTGCTACTAGGGGTAAACTGATGACTTATGAGGGGAGGTTAGCTTATGCTGATCGGATTTCTCCCACGAAGACTGATATGATGAGATTGTGGATTTTGGAGAAACACAAGTGGTCGTCGAGTCAAGACTTGCTTTCACCTTTAGGTCACTTTGATAAGAGTGCCCATATCTATTTCTCACTAAAAGGTTTCACCCAAGCTGGTGAGTTTGTTTATGTACCAAACGAGTTTCATAGATCTTTATATATTTTATGTTGGCATCCGGTGAGGAACAGCTGTAGAAGATTCAAATTTGAAGGAATCGCTGGCGACGACGAATCTTGGCTCGATATTTTCGTTGGAGAGGAAACGTATCAGCTCCATGTTATCCCGAATCACATTGAGAGTCAAGTTTCTTTGTAACATTTTTGTTGCTTCTCTTTTGTTTTGGTTTTTTTTCTTTTCTTTTCATTGGCTTCTTTCTTTTAGAATGACGCACTTTCAAATTTATGCAACTTGATGATTTTTGATTATAACTTTCTCATTCCTTACTTTGATTCTATTCCGTTTCATTTACCAATTCTTTGTAATTTCTAAATATAAAACATGAATTGACACAATTCTTTGTGATTTTCATTAGCATATGGATTCATGTTACCTTCCAAATGTTTGTATCGAGATCCACTTCATGCTTCCCTGACATGTCGATAGCATCCACGCTCAATACTAGAAAACAAATAAGATCAAATGGTTAAGTCTACAACGACAAGTATTCCAGAAAGTATGAAGGGAAGAGCGTAACAATGACTTGAATACTACGTAAATCGATGGATTTCACTTACCATCACAAGGCAAAGATGGAAATGTCATAATTACATGAATTGGAAGAGTTCCTCAGCGCTTTAAGTCCACATACATTAGAAAAATATTATACAAATTCCATTTCGATTACGGTGGTTATGTCTTATGTATATACAAAATGAGAAAATGGACAGTGAACGACAGCAAATTGACAGTGAACGATTAGTGAAGTTGAATCAACATACTTCAAATTCACATTTTCCTAATGATGTGGATCATCACAGCACAAATTCGGCTAGGACATTCGAACCAAGTCAACCAAAGAGTGGCAAATTTAAAGAATAAAAAAAACGATTAACAAAAATTACAATGTTAAACATAAAAATAATTAAAATGAACACGTAGACCAAAAAAAAAAAAAAAAAAAAGGCTGACGTTTTCTTTGACCGCCAAAGAAGACGAAGGAATTCTTTTTGTCTACAGAGATAACCTTCTTTCTTTTAGCTTCTCCGTTCTCCGCGTTTCTCTCTCTCTGATCGATTTGGGAAATTGAGCTCACGAAGTCAAGCAAACGGATTTAGTGTATCTGCCCCCTTAAAGTTTCCTCTTCCGGTAAATTTTCCTAACATTTTGCTGATTTTGTTTGCTCCTCGGTCGACATCTGATCAAGTTTTAGGGGTTTCAATCTCGGATTCTCGGAGAATTCCGATTCTGGTATCAGTGTTGAACATTTCGAAATCGGTGTTTGGAACTTGGAATTGAGATTGAATTTGGGTGATTGGATTAAGTGTGATCTTCTGTAATTTTGTGCGATCCAATCGAGAAAATGATCATCCTTTGTTACAAGTTTCAACATTTAGGGTGAAATTAGCAGTAGCGGCTTTCGTTTTACAAGTTCCAACATTTCGCTTTAAATCCTAATAAAGCTTATGCAATTAAGCCACTAAAACTGATCATAGAGCTTTACTTTGTAGGTTGTATTTAGTATAGGAATCCAAATACCATGGATGAACAAAATAGGAATCCATTTGCGAGTTCAAGTGCAAGTGCAACAGCAGGGGGAAGTACAAGTGCGAGCTCGAACTCGAGTTTCAGTAGCAGCGTTGCTGACACAGAGGACGATCAAACCATTGCACGTATATTAGCAGAAGATGAGAGATTGAAAAGAGAGCCAATGCTTGGGAAGAGATTATCTCATTTGGATTCTATACCAGTATGATCAACTTCGTTTATATAATCTTTATTGATGTCCTCATCACCTACACCTGAGAAGTAACTTTTGCTATCTGTCTTGTGGAATTTCCTTTTGCCACAGCACACTCCTCGGGTTAACAGGGAGATACCTGATATAAATGATGCAACGTTAGACCATGAGCTACTCTCTGGGAGGTTCTTATCTTTCTTATCAACGTTCTTCATTTAATAGTACTGATTAGACTATTGACTTGTTGCCCTGAATCTATGTAAGCTCTGAAAGATAGGTCTTTGTAACTCTGTGTGGATCATCTTTGATAGGTTGGCCACATATGGTTTAGCTGAATTACAAATGGAGGGAGATGGAAATTGCCAGGTACGTTGGAAGTAACATCCATACAGACCTCGCGTGGACTCTTTGGATTTGATCGATCACATATGTTGTTCTTGTTTTACCAGTTCCGAGCTTTAGCAGACCAGCTTTTCCGCAATCCAGATTACCATAAACATGTAAGGAAGCATGTTGTGAAGCAGGTACACTCTGAGAACCATAGTGAAACTCTGTTCTTGCTCCCAATTTAGCAGCTAGCTCATTTCTTGAAGTTCCCATCAAAACATTGATTACTTAGTTTATGAACTCCTCTCTGGACTTATCACCGTGTCTACTGCAATATATATTCTGACTTATCATGTACATTTTTTTCAGTTAAAGCAACAACGTAAGTTATACGAAGAGTATGTGCCAATGAAATACAGACATTACACCAGGAAGATGAAAAAGTGAGGCATCTCTGTTTTCTTATTTTCTTTTAAGTGAACGAATTATTCTCTGATTCATCCGTTTTGCTGATAAATTTTGGATGCGACTAGACACGGTGAATGGGGAGATCACCTTACTCTTCAAGCTGCTGCAGATCGTGTAAGTTTTAACAAAGATCATCTTTTTGAGTTTACTATAAGACTACAACAGTTTATAAAGAAACCTCATAGATTCTGTTTTCTGGCTGCATTTTGAGGAATCATCACAATTGTCATCTTTTATTTTCTCACGTTTTTGGTTCTGTTTTACTTTGAATGACTGGCTGCTGACTTCAGCATCATTCTGTAGTTCGAAGCCAAGATCTGCTTAGTCACATCATTTCGAGAACAATCCTACATTGAGATACTTCCTCATAACAAGAACCCTCTTAGAGGTACAAAGCCTCTCTCTTTCTCTGCCTTTTAAGCCAACTTCACTCTCCGTCCTAACCATCTTGAATCCTTTTTGCTCTTGTGCAGAGGCTTGGCTTAGCTTCTGGAGCGAAGTGCATTACAATTCGTTATATTCTAGTGGAGGTAAAAACTCAAAACTTTTGCATTTAACTCTGCTTTTGAAGTCACTAATCATCATCTCCATGGCTTCTCTGAATCTCAAATCTCCATTTGTTTCTGAATTAGTAGCTCTTGCTCTTCCAGATGTTCCCACAAGAAAACCCAGAAAGAAGCATTGGCTCTTCTAGGATTTGGATTTTAAAAAGGCTCTTCTCCATTACAATGTTGTATGTATACTACCTTCCTCTGATTGTGTATAAACTTTGTTCATCATATATTGGTTCAGCTTCAACACTTTCATTTTCAAAACAATGAGTAAACATAGATATGTTATTTACATATGTTTTTTTGTAATCATCTATATATTCTGAATCGTGACGAAAATGCAAATAGCAAACAAACAAACTCTCAGCATTTTGGACTGGAAATTCTTAATTCAGAATGTGGACCATACTGAGATCAATATGAACCGACCGGATGAAATACATTCACATGGACCAAGTAACGTGTCGTGGAGGGAGATTTATACAAAGTCTATTTTCATTCAATATTTTAAAATTTTACTTGGTTGAGTTTGGAACAAGTAAAGCAATGGCCTTCAAGAATATTAAAAGAATCAGGGCCTGACTGGTTTAACCGCTGCGGTTGCGGTTGCGGGTGCGGGAGTTTGCGGAAGCGGGCGGTTGTGATTAGTAGCGTTATTAAGCGGTTTGTACGACTGGCATAACAATTGAAAATGGATGCGTTTGCGGGTTACTTATGACTGGTTCACTTGCGGATGCAATAGCGGTTAAACAATAAATTAATAATATAAACACATTATATAATTATAAAAATATCAAAACTATATTATAATGAAAATTTTAAATTTATGGTTCAACATAATTAAAAATATATTTTTTATAAAGAATAATATGTGTATAATACTTACATCTATCTTTTAATTTCTATAATTTAAATAAAAAATGTGATTTTATTTTCAAAATATATATTTAATGTGAAAATTAAATTTATATTACAATTTTATTTATTAGATATATATGTATTAGTATGAAAAGAATATTTATCAAGAGAATTTTGATTTGTAGAACTTATAAATATATAAGTATTATATGATTTTAATGAATATTGACTAAAAGTACTAATTTTTTATTTATATTGTGATTTTATTATCCAAATCTTATTTTTTAATAAATATTATTATTTATTTTCGGATTTTATATAAGTTTGTGTTTTTTTTTTTTTTAATTATCCACCCGCAACCGCAAACGCTTGCGGAAAGGAGCTTTTGATTTTCAGCGATATAGAGCGGTACAGAGTGGTATAGAGCGATTCAAAGCGGTTGTCGTGATTGTTATAAACCGCCGAAAACCGCTACGAACCGCAAACGCTGCGTTTGCGGGTGGTAGCGGGAGAACCAATCAGGCCCTCAGTCGGATCGGACAGAACGCATCTTTTGTTGCTTTGACTCATAGAAGCATCATTATTTACCCAATGGATATCAGGTGTTCTCTGTATAATCTCTCGGGTTCGATTCGTAGAGAATGCAACTTTTTGCTCTAGTAAGTAGTAACTAGTGAGCCAACTGTTGGATGTTGTAAAATTAAAAAAAAAAAATCAAAAAATTCGCAAATTAAGACATTTTTTTCTTCAGAATAAAGCAAATCTATGGATTTTAGCTTTTTTTTTTAATATAGTAATAAATCATCCTTAATTATATTCATCAATAGTTGGATATCAAAATTAAAAATCTTGAGAAATCTTAAGCAACAAAAGTTTATAATCCAATAATTTCTTTCTAACATCAATAGTAATATATGTAGATTTAGACATGCCTTTTATCAAAAAGTAGATTTAGACATGTCGGATTAATGTATTCCTCTACTTTTTGACATTTAATGTTTGTTTTTTTTTTGGGTCAGGACCATTTAATGATTTTCTTAACAACCATTTAATGATTTAAGACTAACTTATCAACTAACATAATTGGGAAAAATGAAAAAAATATAAAGATTGATTAAAAAATAAAATAATAACTGAGTGTGGATTTGCTTTGGCAAGTCTATGTGTCGATGTTACACGGTGAAAGGAAACAGAACAACAACAACAAAAAAGAGCCATTGCTTTCTTCTTCTTCTTCATTCTCTCTTCCTCTCTCTCTCTCTCTCTTTTTTTTTTTTTTTTTTTTATCGCGGAGAGAGATTTCCTTCAGCTTTTACTTCCGTTTATCCCTTCCAATTGAAAACCCTAGCAATCTCAGCTGATTCTTAGCTTAACTCTTTTCTCTTAATTTCTCTTTTATCTGTCAATCTCGTCGAGAAAAGTACGAAAACCCTAGAGCAAAAGCGACGGAAGAGGATTCTCTTTTATGTCCTCTTGTTCTCTCGATTCTGTGTGATTTCTAAAGCTTCTCTATAATCGAAACCTTGCGTTTGATTGTTTGATCATGGACAGATCCGATTCCAGGGATTTGTACAACTTTGTTCGCGCTACCTCAGGTCACTCCCCGCCTTTTTTTTTTCCATCTCATCGAAGCATTTTCTGTTTCTTCTCTTTGTGATTTAGCTGCTTAGCTGATTTTGGATCTGAGTTTGTGTATTGCTTGGTTCGGATAGCACTAAAGCGGATGAGATTTATCGTAAACATCTGTAATTGTGTGTGTTGTATGATTTAGGTCACTGAGCTTATAGCGTCTTTGGTAGATTTTGTGTAATGTGAATTTCTTTAGAAATGATATGTGTATCAGAGATCTGATGTTTCTTCTACTTGATTTTGGTATTTGTATATGCAGATCAATTTGATGCATCTCAGTACGATTTCTTTGGTAAAAATCTGGACGAAATGTCATTGGGAGGTTTTGAAGATGACGAAGTGATTGCTCCTGTTCCTGGACATGCTGATGATGATGAGTATCACTTGTTTGATAAAGGAGAGGTAATGTGCTTTCTCTGTTGAAAATCTTAACATCCTGATGAGTTATGATACATGCATGTAGTTAAAAATGGTTGAAGATGGTTTTGACTAATAGCTACATGTTGATTTACAGGGTGGAGGTTTAGGATCGCTTTCCGAGTTGGATGATCTTGCTACAACTTTTGCAAAGGTTAGCACAGTGTTTATCTACAAACACTATGTTGCTTTTTCTTTTTCAATTTCTTCTATAAGTTTTGACTTGTTGCCAGTGATTTAAATCTACTTACTCTCTTATGTGCAGCTAAACAGAAATGTTACTGGACCCAAACACCCTGGAGTTATTGGTGACAGAGGATCAGGATCCTTCTCAAGAGAGAGTGAGTTAGATTCTTAACTTGTTTACTACTGTATACCTTTAGGGTGCTGTTTTAGCCTGCTATGGTTCATTTTCTTTAGTTTTCCCTTTTGTTGACCCGTTTTTCGCCAAAATTGGCAGCTGAGCTTAAATAATCAGTAGCTTTTGAACTCAGTAGACGTATTGTTAAGCCCTTTTTGTGTCCAGATATTGTGATTTGGTCCCTTTTGTGAGGTAAAAGGTTGGATTGTAGAGATAAGTTGTGTTAGTTGAAGAAATCTTGTTGTTTTTGTGCTGGTGTTGTGTTCATTTTCATTTGCAAATTCCTATTTCTGACAGTACTTTATCTCCAGGTTCTTCTGCTACCGATTGGACACAGGACGCAGAGCTCACAAGCTGGTTGGACGAACAAGATCAAGAAGCTAAGAGATGGTCCTCACAGCCACAATCATCCGCTCATTCAAAACCTTTGTACAGGACATCCTCCTATCCTCAGCAGCAACCACAGCTGCAGCATTACAACAGTGAACCGATAATTTTACCAGAGTCAACTTTTACCTCCTTTCCTCCACCCGGTAGCAGATCTCCGCAAGCTTCACCGAGAAATCTCCATCGCGCTCCTTCTCTTCCTGGTGGTACCCAGCTGACCTTCTCGGGACCTTCTCAACTGTCAAATTCTAGTTATCATCTCTCAGGATTGTCGCACGGGCCCAACTATGGTGGTAATTTGGCTAGATACGCCTCGTGCGGTCCTACGCTCGGTGGCATGGTGCAGCCTCATTGGGTCACTGATCCTGGTCTTCTGCACGGAGATCATTCTGGTTTATTGCATAGTCTGGTACAACAACAACATCAACAGTTGCCTCCTCGAAATGGTCTTATGTCGCAACATTTGATGGCCCTCCAGCAGAGACAATCATTTGCTCATCTTGCAGCGCTACAGTCCCAAATGTATAGTTCCTATCCATCGCCATCACGTAAAGGCCCTTTTGGGGTTGGTGAAGTTAGGGAACACAAACATAAGTCTCATAGAAGTCGAAAGAACAGAGGCATCTCCCAACAGGCATCAGACGCAGCTAGTCAGAAAAGTGAAAGTGGATTGCAGTTTAGATCAAAGTACATGACCTCAGAAGAAATAGAAAGTATACTCAAGATGCAGCACTCCAATTCACACAGCAATGATCCCTATGTCAACGACTATTACCACCAAGCTCAGCTTGCCAAAAAGTCTGCCGGATCTAGAGCAATCTCTCACTTCTATCCTGCTCAGCTGAAGGATCACCAGCCTCGGTCTCGTAACAGTTCTGAACCGCATCCACAAGTTCATGTAGATGCTCTTGGAAAGATTACACTTCCTTATATCCGCAGGCCACGTGCTTTGCTCGAGGTTGACTCTTCTCCTGGTTCTAACGATGGAAGCGGGGAACAAAAGGGCTCAGGAAAACATTTGGAGCAGGAGCCTCTTGTTGCAGCTAGGGTGACGATTGAAGATGCTCTTGGAGTTCTTATCGACGTTGTTGACATTGACAGGACTCTCCAGTCCACAAGACCACAAGACGGAGGTGCTCAGATCAAGAGAAAGCGGCAGATCCTGCTTGAAGGATTAGCGACAGCACTTCAACTCGCTGATCCGTTCAGCAAAACCGGTCAGAAATCCGGGATGACTGCTAAGGACGATGTTGTCTTTCTACGTATAGCCACTCTTCCCAAGGGTCGGAAAATGCTTACAAAGTATATACAGCTTCTAGTTCCAGGCACTGAGATTGCTCGGGTTGTCTGTATGGCTATCTTCCGCCACTTGAGATTCCTATTCGGCGGCTTGCCTTCAGATACTCTAGCAGCAGAGACGATTGCGAATCTTGCCAAAGCAGTCACGGTTTGCGTTCAGGCCATGGACCTCCGAGCACTGAGTGCTTGCCTTGCAGCTGTGGTTTGTTCTTCAGAGCAGCCACCTCTGCGTCCTATTGGAAGCTCCGCTGGGGACGGTGCTTCGGTTGTCTTGATATCTCTTCTCGAGAGAGCTGCTGAAGTGGTGGTGGTTCCTCGAGTCATCCATGGGAGTTCCAACGATGGTCTCTGGAGAGCCTCGTTCGACGAATTCTTCAACCTTCTTACCAAATACTGCAGGAGCAAGTACGAGACGATCCGCGGTCAGAACCAAGGGAGTGCGGCGGATGTTCTGGAGATGGCGATAAAGAGGGAAATGCCAGCTGAGCTGTTACGTGCGAGCCTGCGTCACACCAACGACGACCAGAGGAACTATTTATTAAACTTTGGTGGTCGTAAACCGTCGGCTATTAGCGAGTCGGCGTCTCGTGCAAGGGGTGGTGAACAGATCAACTCGGAATCCGTGATGGGGTAGTGAAGAGAGAGAGCGAGAGAGAAGTGTGGATCAAAAACAAACAGTGAAGGGGTGTGTGTGTGGGGACGCAGAAGCCAAAACTTGTAAGTAAACCTGGTGGTGTAGGGAATCTTTTCACAAGGGTTTCAGGTGATAAGTGCGTTTTAGATTCTGCTTTTTTTTTCTTTAATCTCTTTACTTTGAACTCGGTTTCGTATTATAATGGTGGACAAATGCAAAATATTGCTTGGTTGTTGTGTATTTTGTGATGATGGGAAAGAATGTGAAACATGGAGTAGATTATCGGAAGAAGAGATGTCTTCTCCGAGGGGAGCCATTTTTTTGGTGCTCTTGTGTTGTTTAGTGAACAAAATAGGTGTATTTTTACCTTTTTAGGAGTTTGGGAAAGGATATTAGTGTGTGTGTGTGTGTACAGAATGATGAAGAACCCTTTATCCGGAGAATAGGGAGATTGGAGGTAGAAGAAGACAATTAGGTGCTAATCTTCTCTGACTAACAAGTTTAGGTTGTGGAAGCAGCTGGGAAAAGGGAGTTTATGTTTGTTATCTGTGATATGTTTCTTTTTTTTCCTATGAAAACTTTGGTGAATGAGGATTAGTGGTGTACACTCGGAACACACAGAACCCTCTTATGAAAACTTCTTGGATCCATCTCTTTCTTATGATTCTCTGGCTCTCTCGTTGGTTGTTTCAAGATTTCATCTTCTACTCTTTTGATTGTTTTAGTAGTTCCTAGTTGATTCTTTGGTTTGACTAGTGATTGTTTGCTAATTGCTATTAATTGGACAGAAACCTGAGATTACTACTTTTTTTCTTACCAAACCATAACATTATCTCTAAAAGCCATAGCCAAACTTAGGCAACAAGAGAAAGACAAAAACAGAGACAGTACTGGTGAATGAGTAAAAGCGACCATGATGAGCGACGCGATATATATACTTCGGTTCACTCTAATTTTTGATGGTTCCAGCGAGTTTCATGTTTGCATTTTATTATTTGTACAACACTGAAGAACCATGAACAAACGAATAAACGACCATTATAGGATAAATGTGGGGATTAATACAGGATGATGAGAAGAAAACAAAAAACTAATACAAGCGATCCGAATTTATATAAACATCGATTCAACCAACAAAAAAGACTAAAAAAACTCGAAATTCACCGTCGAGTATTCGGAAAAATGACAATAGAGAAATACGAGCTAGATTTTTCTTAACCCATGTTAACAAAAAGAACGAAGATTTTTGTTTTGTTTTCCTTTTGGTGGAAGAAAAATGATCCAAAGTTAAATATGTTGGAAAGGATGCGAAGATGAGGAGGAGCTGGTGGTGTAAGTGTAACTGTTAGGTACAAAAGATTTATTTCTCTTCTTCCTCTTCTCCAAAAACCTCTTCACAGATCTCTTCACCGAACACCCTGATGGCGGTTCAAGTCTCGCCGGCGCTAACTCCAACGTCGTCACTTCACAGTCCTTTCTCGCCATCTCTAAGATTTCCCTTATCTTCATTGTTTTATTAATTACTAATTAGTCTCTCATCATTAAAAAACAAAAAGACTCAACAACATATACATATACAGATATACTATATACACAAAGGCACAAAGCATATAGATATTGTACCTGGATCTCTACGAGATCGTACTCGCGTAATCCCCCATCATAGAATGCATTGATCTCCCTAGATCTTATGGCTGACGAATGATCACTTACTCTGTTGAAATGATCATTTTCACAAGAACTTGAGTGGTTTAAATTTGAAACTAGGGATGGAACTTTGAATAAAAGAGGTTGGATTTGACTAAGAAAACTCACGTAGAAATTCGGCGGCAAGATTCAAGCGTAGAGGCCATTGGAGATAGGCAAAGATCTAAGCTGCAACTCTTCATGATCTTTCTTGGAGTAAAAGATTCTTACTTTTGGTCAATTTATGGAAGTCAAGATTAGAATTTAGAAACAGTTGCATGCAAACTATATAAGAACGCTATAAACTTAAATATCTGCAAAATTCGGTCACGTGCTTCATGTTTTCAGAACGAGTGAAAGGTATTTTAAAAGAAAAAATGGTACGTTTTCTTAAAATGAATAACACATATCTACACTAGTGGTTATGCGTTTAAAACGTTCCCTATTCTAATAAGAACAAAGGTATAGAAAGTTAGGAACTTAATTGACTTTTAGGTTTTATGAAAAGATTGGGCACATGCAGTGTTTGTGCCATGTGGGGTTTTGGAGGCGTTTTTGGGTTAATATACTTCCCACAAATAGAAAGTCGATTCACACAAGAGAATGCATTGCGAGAAATTGTTTTTTATTCTCTTTATTTTGGTAATAGAAGAGAATCTAAAGCAATATGCCAATATATATCAATCTCACGATACATCATCCAGAAAATACTACCACTAAAAAAGTCTTATTCATCCAAAACGTTTTGGTGGATTTAATTAGTTCAACTTAAACAATTTAAACACAATCATCTTCGGACTTCGGACATGGAATGAAGGAACATATTGTCTTGCAAGATGTAACCAAAACCATCGAAATTTATAAAGATAGAAAGTAGAACTAGATGCAAAGTGAGATTGAAGTGAAAAAGTAAGATTAAAGGTAAAGTTAGGTAAAGAGATGTTGATATTAGTGGATGAATTATAAGAAACGTGTAGCATGTTTTACAGGTTTTGCAAACTATTCGTTCACAAACCACAAACACAAAGTCACGTGTTCTACTTTTCTTCATTTTCTTAATTAATATGAATAAATAAAGAAAACACAGACATGAACATGGGACACTAATGGGACTTTGATCGAATTAGGATATTGAAAAGATGTGCCGAGTGCTTAATGTTTAGTCTAGTTTTGGTATTACAACCATACCATTTGGCCCACAACATTATGGTATGACCTTAAGAGGAACACATCACTAAATTCATGTTTTACGGAGGATTGCTTGAGCATTTTCATCATTATTTATAAAAAATTATAGTTTTCCGTAAAGTACTCATGGCTGGTAATTACCAATAGTTAATTGTATACACTTACTCTCAGCTACATTTATTAACATCGAAATGTTATAGAGTTGTTTTTGAGGGATGTACTAATAATGTAAGTATGTAACTAAAGCAACTCCAACAATCTGTATGTTTTGTTGTCTGGAAGTCATAATCACATATGTAAAACGTGAAGTTGCTTTATTATACAACGAAATAATTATTTTTGGGATTAGTTAGTTTCTGGCGGGAAGGTTGAGCTTGGGCTTTATGAGTCCCTATCGCTTAAATCCAAAGACGTTAATGAGACGGCCCAATCACTTCTCATTTTGTGCTTAATGGGTCCTTATCGGATAAATTTGGAAGAATCGAAACGAAACACATTTTCCGTGCCAAACATTATCTCTTTTGAGAGTAAGAGGGTCTTTACGTAAATAATAGATTTGAATGTGCTAAATTAAACTTTGTAATAAGTTGAAGGTGCAATTAATAAACTTTCGTGAAGACGGAAAAAGAGACGCCGTTCAAAACATCGAAGCCTTTTGTTTGTCTCTCTCCCGGACCCGGAGATCTCTCTTCTTCCTCCATCATCATCATCATCCTTCTTCTCGCCGCGCGCTCTCATCCTCACCAGCCTCGATTCGTGTACGATCTCAATAACTTGGATTTTTTGTTTTCCGAATTATTTTGCGTTTGGAAATATCTTTAGATTCATCTGTTCTTATGCCATTGTTCTTCGACTTTTCTACGCTTAATTTTCTTTCATTAGCTTCAAAAAATGGGAATTTCCTAATTTAAGGAAGGTAAAGATCATACTAGACACCTGAATTTTGATGAAATAGTTTTGAGCTGTTTAAGCTTAATTTCAAAAAAAAAATGCCCTTCAATCCTAGGCTGCATCTGCTATTGATTTTGAGCTAGGCTCTTTAGAGAAACCGCCATGGAAGCTCTATGGTTGTGTAGATCGAGAAATATATAGAATACTAAGAGAATTTGGTTCGAAAGGAAAAGTATTTGATGGTTGAATCGGTTTATCTAGTGCCAAATTGAGTGGAATTACACGAATTTGGCAATATTGTTCCTGACTATATATCTAATGTTGGTTTGTAGTTTGGTAGGTCCTTGGAGTTCGATTCGTAGTATTAATAATCTTGAGGGAAGCTGCTAGGATGGGTGTGAAGCAGGCTCTAAGGAGCATCGATGCGTTCCCAAGAGCAGAGGATCATTTGCTGCAGAAAACACAATCTGGTGCAGTTGGTAAGTAATGGATTTTCTCATCCTTTTTTTCTTGTTGTTTGAGGATACCCTTTTGAATGCTTGATATGTGTTTGCTTATTTTAATATCTGAAATTTTGTTGCTGTTGTTGTAGTATCGATTGTTGGACTCTTTATAATGGCTACTTTGTTCTTGCACGAGCTGAGTTACTATCTTAACACACTTACAGTGCATCAGGTACGTCTTTAGTTTGAGCGATATCTTGTGCTTTTCTGTTTGTTGCCCTCACTCTAGCCTTCATATCATTACGGAAATATGAATTTGAAGTCTCTCTGTTGATACAACTTCACTGATACTCTAGTCGTTCTCTGTCCATTTGACTGCCTTAATTTGGAATTTGTGTCATGTGGTTGTAGATGTCTGTGGACTTAAAGCGCGGAGAAACTCTTCCAATTCATGTTAATATGACGTTTCCATCTTTGCCTTGTGATGGTAAGTGATATCCATCGATCACGTAGCATTCAAGTCATTGTTAGGTTCTTTCCTCCGTATCTCTTCTGGAATACTTGTTGTTGTTGAATCATTTGATCTTATTTGTTTTGTAGTATTGAGCGTGGATGCGATCGACATGTCAGGGAAGCATGAAGTGGATCTCGATACAAACATTTGGAAGGTAACATGAATCCAGATGCTAAATACAAATCACAAGTCTTTTCACATGTATCCTCATCCACCTTAATGGAATTACGCAAACTTGTTTTGTTAGATTGCGCCTGAAAAAATATAGCAGTTCATATTTAGGCTAAAGATTCTATCTGAAGGGAACTATTTGGATATCTCCCTTGGCATCCTTATGCCTCGCATCTTGTGGCATTAATTCTAGTCGTACTGGTTTATGATCGAGATATTTAGTTACTTATTGTGAGTCTCCGTCTGCAGCTCCGTCTCAACAGTCATGGTCATATCATTGGCACAGAATACATATCTGATCTTGTTGAAAAAGAGCATGATCACTCAGCTCACAAGCATGGTAACATCCTCAACTTATTTTCTCCGATTTTGTATCTTCTCCAACGAGCTTCATTTCCCTTAACTATTGTTCAATGTCTCTACCTTGAACCTTTCGGAAGAACAGATTGTCATATGCATGTTGGTTCTACGTACATGCACATGACTATCTGGAGAACCGAATTTACACTAATTTGTAGCTTCCAAAATCGAATATTAATAAGAATCTTGCAAGTTGAGTTGAGGCTTATGATTAATTTGGCACATATATACCTAGTGATAGATGTCATTGGCAGCGTACTTTGTTGATATAAGAATAGAGAATCATTAACATGTTTTAATTTGGTATATCTTGTGCTTTCTGAAGATGGCAAAGAAGAACCCAAGAATGAGACCGAGTCATTCAATTTTCTCGGCTTTGATCAAGCTGCTGAGACAATGATTAAAAAGGTGAAGCAAGCATTGGCAGATGGAGAAGGATGTCGGGTATCTACTTTTGCTCTTGTCAATACACAAACAAGAAACTATACCTTATTAGCGTTTTAAAGTTAACAGAGACTAATCTTTTTGGCTGTTTTCCAGGTTTATGGTGTCATAGATGTACAACGAGTTGCTGGAAACTTCCATATCTCAGTTCATGGACTAAACATCTACGTTGCTCAGATGGTTCGTATCATTCTTTGTTCTCATCATTTGCATTTGCACCTCATTCAATCTCTTTATTACCCCTTTAAACAGATATTTGGTGGTTCGAAAAACGTAAATGTGAGCCATATGATTCATGATCTCTCCTTTGGGCCGAAATACCCTGGAATTCACAACCCGCTTGATGATACAAACCGAATCCTACATGACACCAGTGGAACATTCAAATACTATATCAAGGTGTTTATCGAAATTTTTCACTCTTCTTTTACTCATGTCTCTTTGCTAGCTTTTATGATCTATGAACATTATCTGGTAGTTTTAGCTCACTAATTTCTCTCTGGTATGGCGCAGATTGTTCCTACGGAATACAGATATCTCTCAAAGGACATACTCTCAACAAATCAGTACTCTGTAACTGAATATTACACACCGATGAATGAATTTGACCGGACATGGCCAGGTTTGATCAAAACAAAACTACATTCCCAGCATGCAACTGCTTCTTATCACTCTGTTTCAGTTTCCTGATGTTTGCTTTTATTTTCCAATTTTTCAGCTGTCTACTTCTTATATGATCTTTCACCAATCACTGTGACAATCAAGGAAGAACGACGTAGTTTTCTCCACTTGATCACTCGGCTTTGCGCTGTATTAGGCGGTACCTTTGCTCTCACAGGTTCGTCACATCTCGATCTAATCTCATTATTAAGTCCTCATTCAAAATCCTTCGCTTAATTAGTTATGGGCATGGTCATAAAACAGGAATGCTAGATCGTTGGATGTTCCGTTTGATTGAATCTTTCACTAAGAAGCCGAGTACCAGAAGCATACACAAGTGAAACAGAGAGAAAGAAACAGTGAGAAAAAACTAAGGAAGGAAGAAGAATCTCTCTCAAATCCAAAAACTTGCATCTGCCTTCTGAAGACAACCTCACAACCAGAGATTCCAGGATTGTTACGTTTGCAAGATCCAATCTGAGAACTCTAGAATCCTTGGATATATAGTTTTGCCTTTTTACTCTCTTATGTA